CTGTCAAAGTTTTTGAAAACCTTGATATCTGTCATTCTGCGCATACATATTTTACTAAAGATAAAGTATTATTTTGCTTGTTTACAAATTTTATGTAAATGTAATCATACAGTATGTGTTCTTGCGAAATCTGCTCTTTCTCTCCACTTATCTTTTTGAGTTTACCATTCTGATCCATATTCTTTTTAAGCACTAGATAGCATTTCATTAAAGGAACACAATTTATTTACTTATACTCTTGTTATTCAGCTTATTGTTGTTGTGATTTAGGTCATTTCCAAATTTATTATTGCAACCAATGTTTTCAGTGAACATCTTGTTCATGATTCCTGTGTCTATGTAAGAGAGTTTCTCTTGTGTATTACCTGAGGGGTAGAAATGTTGGAAAGTGGGCCTTTCTGGTGGTGTAAGGGGGTAAGTTTTAGCACTATCAAGCTATTGCCAGCTACTGCAGCACAAGTTCAATCCCTGGCCAGGAAGCTGACCCACATGACAGAACGGACCTCTGTGAGACCTCTCCTGTCTCACTGGCTGCTCTTCTCAGCAGTGTTATTGCAGTCAATCTACCTGTTCTGCTCCCCACTCTGTCTCTGGTGAATCTTCTCACCCCCCCAACTCTCACACCTCTGGCTTTACCCCAGCTCTTGTATGCATAAATAAATAAATGTTTAAAAAAAAAAAGAAATGCTGGAATACAATCTGAACTCATCTTCAGTTTTAGTAGATACTGCCAAATTGCTATCTGAAATGGTTGTTCCAAGTAACATTTCACTAAGCAATATCAAGAATTCCTATTTCCATGCATCCTTGAAAATGTGTTATTGCTGTACTTTTGAGACTTATTACTTTTCAAATGAGTGTAAAGTGTTATGTGTCTTCCCATGTTTCATAATTTTTTTGGTCATTCTCCTTTTTAGTTACTGTTTATATCCTTTACCCATTTTTTCTATTAGCTTGCCATATTTCTCTCATGAGTTTAAAAGGTCCCTTTTATAGCCAAGGTACTGATATTTTGCCTGTTATATATGTAAAATAATATCTCTTGATATGTCTTGTCTCTTTCCTTCATTTGAGGCATTTTATATTGCTTCTTCATCTCACATTGGAATAATAGGAAATCCCTATTCTGTAGTGCTGTGCAGTGGAGTCAGAGATTAAAAATTGTGATAACAGTATATTGCGACCAAGTATGGCATGAAAACGGGAATATAAGAAGCTTGGTTTCACTCATGATTCTTCCCTAGCTAAGTATCCTTGGGGAAGTCGCATCACCTCTGAGTTTTGGACTTCTCATCTCTAAGTGGAAACTTTAGAATAGCTGATATCCCTAAGCATCCCCCTAGATGTAAGGTTCTCTAACACTGTAAATCAAGGCCACGTGTATGCCCACGCAGGCACTGACAGAACATATACAGACGAGCCCACTTAATTCTAACATATGAAGTGACTGATCAACATTTGTGTTATTTTCGCTGACTCCCCACACGGGTAGCAAGCTTTTCCTATTGTGCCCATAGCATCTAAGCATTTTTGTTACTGTACTATCATCACATTATACTATTGGTACAAGTTTTTCACTTGTCCCTTTGACATAGCTGAGCATCTCACATGCAAGCATGTCATCAATATATCTCCAGCATCTCCCATAAGACCAAAGAATTTGAACACCTCCAAAGTCTATAACTAGTGAACGTAATAGAGTTACTAAAGCACTTTAGGGAAGGAACCATTAACAAATATTACTGTAGCTTTTTACAAATGGTGTCCATTTTGCAAGATCATATAGGAGAACACTGGTAAGCTTATTAATGGAAAGCAATTTCTGATTTTTTTAAGTATTTTTTTTTAAGATTTATTTATTCATACAGAACTGGGGTACAGGCCAAAGATGTGGAGGGTCAGAGAATTCACCAGGGACAGAGTTGGGAGCAGAACAGGCAGATCAACAAAGTACACTGCTGAGGGGAGCAGCGGGCGGGTCAGGAGAGGTCTGCCACGCCATGTAGATCTCCTCTGGGGCAGGTGGGGATCGAACTCATGCAGAAGTGGCTTAAGCTTCTTAGTGCAGTGCTTTAACCTGCTGCACCACCAGGGAGGGCCTTTTTTAAGTATTTTTTTAAAGATTTATTTATTTATGCATACAGAGCTGGGGTACAGGCCAGAGGTGCAGGGGCGGTGAGAGGATTCACCAGAGACAGACTGGGGAGCAGAACAGGCAGATCAACTGAAATACCCTGCTGAGGGAAGCAGCAGCACCACAGGGAGGTCCCAATTTCTGATTCTTAATCTGATCTGTCAACTAAGAGAGCCTACAGCTTCATCATTCTAGCAAAAACAAACTAGATTTTGAGTTAGTCATTTTCATCCTTTTCATGTAACCTAACTACAGTACTTACAATTTTGAATTTTCCCCTACTTGACATGTTGTAAAAGATTAAAAAGGGAGTCTCTAAACTTTAAGACCTTTCATAACTGTTATTTATGTAAATCAGAGATGGGAGTATTTAAATAATTCTCTTAGCTGTAATGCTGTTTCCTACTTGTAGTAAACACAGAGGAAGAAAATAAGATCTATGTAATAAAAGTGCCCTTGTCATAACAACTGGAAGAAGCAACAGGAGGGAAAACCTTGCTTCTTAAGAATGGACCGTCACAAGGTTTCAGGGCCCCTTATGCATGATCAGTGTTCTAGCCTTCATTTGCTTTCACCCTTGCACAGCCTACTTCCCTGCTGCAAGTATAATCCAATTTTCTTAGCTACACATTCACCTCTGGATAAGCAAAGCATAATTTGAATTAGAATCTTTATCCTTTTTGAGGGGTAATGCATTACCTGTTCATCTAAAAAAAAAACTGCCAATGTCTTCTATCTCCTACTCTATCATGTTTTTACAATTTATCATGTTTACATCCTTGTGTTTATTTTTGTTGTAGTTCATAAGATCATTATTAAACAATAAAAAAGTAGATTACAAGAGCCAGATCAGGAATAAAACCAGGGTGTGGAGATACACAGTAAGTGGGATAACCTTGGCAGTGATACATCTATTCTGATCTTCTCCAGCAGACCTAGTTTCTGCCAGCCCCAGGGTCAGGCCTACCAGACAGTTTCCAGACATGCCAGTGCTTTTGGTGATCTCATGGCTGTTAACTTTTTAATAATGGGAAGTTGATGCACTGCTGACAAATGGGGTAGTTTCTTCGGAACAGTGTTTCCTAAAATACAGATATCAACCCATATGCATCAGAATCTTCCAGCATGTTTGTTAAAAATTCGTTTGTTAAAGTTTGATTCCTGATCTGCTTCTGAATCAGAAATGCTAGGGGTGGGCTTAAAAGATCTCAATACTAAAAAGCATACTAAATTTGAGAGTAACTATAAAAGAAAAAAATGGAGGGCAATTTTTTTTCTGCTACAAAGTTCCTAGAAGGAAGATAGAGGAAGAGTGTACTTCTGAGTCTTATATCAGAGGTCACTATGATGAAGGACTAAACTATGAGAGTGTCACTGGCGGTGGATGGGAGGACCTGGATATGAACATCATGAAGACGGAAACAGCAGAACTTGATGACCTAATGATTGAGAAAGCTAATGAAGGAGGAATCAAGGATGACTCTAGGCTTGGAGCTTAGATGACTGGCTACACATGAGGCCATTTAGCAAGCAAGGAAGGGGATTCAGAAGATATCCAAGTTAGCAGTAAAAGAAGTGATAGATTTCATTTCAGAGAGGTTGAGTTTCATATACCTGCAGAATTGCCAGAAATTAGGAAAGAGGTCTGCTTTAAGAACAGGGTTTTGGCAATCATCTGCTACAGCATAATTTCCATGGAAACATCATGTAGGCAGGAGAAAATGCTCCCTTCATGAGCAAGTGTTTCTTACCAGACATTAAAAAGCAAAGTAGCTTAATCAAGGAGAATGATTCGAAGAGAGCCAAATAGTAATCTATCTGTCTCCTCTCTACTTCATTTGAACATGTGACAGGTCTTCAAGGTTTAGCTGTAGAATTTTCTTGTTTCATTCCCCTGATGAAGAAGTTTTCTTTCTCCTAATAAAGAAGTTTTCAAGGCAACAATGAGGCTTTAAGATATCAGGGATAAAAATAAATCTCATGTGAAAGTTCAAATTTTACTTATTCTTTTTACTTTCCCTTTCTTCTATTTTGCTCTTTCCATGTTGCCAATGGTATTATAAAAACTGAAGGAAAACATGAAAATCACCTGGATTCTGGGCCACTGTTTAATTTTACAATAGTCTCTACAATAGCTTGACAATAGCGTTAAGTCCTGGGGTTGACGTGTATTCAGAAGGGAGCCATGGAGTTGCTGATATAAAAAAGCATTTTGTTTCAGGGATTGATTTATGCTTTGGAGCAGGACAAAAAGAAGAATACTCAGCCCCTGTGGTATCTGTTGCTTGGGAAGCATCAGGCCATCTGCTAGGTTTTAATAAAATGTGGCAAAACACTTGGGTTTGAAGCACATGATGATTTTTCCAAACAAAATTAAAATTTGTCAGCAACTGAGGTACTTACAGGCCACTAAAAAAAATTTGTATCTTTGGCATTAATATTCAAAATAAGAAAAGACATCATTATCTTTCTTTTTATGTTCTGGGATTATTCTCAAAATCCTGTGTTGACTGCCCAACTCAGACTCCTCAGCCTGCCATCTGAGGCCTCCATATTCTCTTTATTTTTATGTAAGACTACTTAAAGCAGAATTTTGGTGGGCTGGACCCAAACACCAGTTTTTAAAAATTTCCTTGATGATTTCATTGTGTGATTAAAATTGAGACCCATTATGGTTACAATATGAATGGGGAATAGAGAGATGGGCACTGTATTACCTCAGGTCAGAAGCAAATGTGAGAAGCGGAAGTCTGTCAGAGCTTCAGAGAACATCTACGACATAGGCATGCAGACGTGTGTGTGTGCACACACACGTGTGGTGTGCCTGTGTGAACTACATTCTCTCTCTTGTTGCCCTGGCTTACAGGTGAATGCCGTGCGAGTGTATGTGAACAGTTCCTCAGAGAACCTCGACTACCCAGTCCTGGTTGTTGTTCGCCAGCAGAAAGCGGTGCTCTCCTGGCAGGTTCCTCTGCTCTTCCAGGGACTGTAAGTGGGTCTTCTGCTGGACAACATCACTTTATTTGATTCCTTTCAATGTTCTAATCCTTTATTGGTACTTTCACTAGTGAAAGGAGAAAACAGACCTTTGGGATGTTGGCATATTATGATGCTAAGAACAAAAAATTTGTCATGGTGCAAATCCAACCTGTACTTCTCTGTTCAGTTTCCATCCTCTTTGAAGTTAAAATTTGCTGTGTCTGTAAGAACTTTTATCATTTTAATTCTAGCCTAGAACATTCTGTGCTTTTGGTTGGTTAATGGATCGTTCCCTGAGGACAGGGCTAGGCCTCGCAGCCATTTTAAATGAGTAAAGCCATCCCCATTCTTCAGATGCTCACTGTGCACATTCTTTCTTCCACTGTATTTATGGAGCATTTCTAGGTAGTATATGCTGGGAATACAGCAGTGGAAGGAGAAAAATACCAACAAAGCCTCTGCCCTCCTAGAGTTTATATTTTCACAGTGAAAAGCTGTATAAAACTCAGTAGTACCAATAAGAAAAAAGCCCAGAGGAATAGACTTGGGTATATAGCATAGAATTAAATCATTTCTAGAGAATGAGGAATTGGAGGATCGATACTGATGGATAGCTGGACTTGGAGATTTTCTTTATGTCCCATTTAGCAAAATCTGGAGGAGTATAAAAATGGAATCAAATGATAGTTTAACTGCTTCCCCTTCAAAGTTTGATATGGTGTCCTCATTGAATTAAGTGTTTGGCTATTATGATGAAAACATGACCTAAGTGGTTCAGCATAGAACTGTCCTGACATCCCTGGTGTTGCATCATACAACAATATACCAAAAACTAGAGTCAATACTTCCAGTCTGAACTTTAAAACATAAGAACTTAGAAACATGTTTGGGGAAAAGTGAAATGAATCAGGTCTCTTTTTCTACTTGCTCACTCTCATTCTTGCTGATTTTCCCCTCCTTTGGCTGCTATAGGTATCAAAGGAGCTACAACTACCAGGAAGTGAGCCGCACCTTATGTCCTTCAGAAGCAACCAATGACACAGGACCTCTGCAGCAGCTGATATTTGTAGATGTAGCATCCATGGCACCCCTGGGTGCCCACTATAAACTGCTGGTAACCAAGCTCAAGCACTTCCAGCTACAGTAAGCTGAACTCACTTTCTCTGTTCGCTTGTCTACAATTCCTGTGCTTGTGCATGCTAAAGTCCCACCCCCTTTCCCTTCCAGATCAATATTCAAAAGGAAATGCTCCCCTTCACACATTGGCATAGGTACATATTGGTTAGGAGCTTCTAAATTCTGGTGCTCACAGCTGGACAGTGGGGCTTCTCTGTGCAGGAGGGTATCTGTTCTGAGAGCACAAAGCTTCTCAGGGGTTCAAACTATTTCCTCCCTTCTTGATATCTATGTAAGTTTTAAAAGAAAGTAACACTAAATTGGTTGTATTAAAATTAGGAGTTTTACCTGTCAAACAGTATCATTAAGAAAAAAAAAAGTAGCTCACAGACTAGGAGAATGTATTTCCAGTATATTTTACTGACAAACCATATGCTGCATATATATATATAAACTCCTACAAATCAAGAAAAAGCTGGTGCTATCCCCATTTGCTTCCTATCCTCTATGCCGCTGGTTTCTTATGGGGAAGAATCTTGAAGTCTTTGAGTCTGGGCATTGAGTCTGGCTCCAAGATAGATGATATGTCATGTGTCCCCATATTCACACTCAGCTTCCCTGGAACAAATAGGTTTTCTGAGGCAACCTCAGGGAACACAAACTATATTTGAAGGAAGGATCCTGTGAAGTGGACTTCTCAATGGAACTCTGGGACAGAGATATGAATCTTAGAAGGGAAATCAATGTTTGTATTCACCCAAAGACAGCATATGTGGGTTGGTGGATGGGTATCTGTTATTCTAATTCAAAATCAATGACAGCTCTGTTCCAGTTATCTCCCTAACTCCTAGATTGGGTTGTTTTGTTCTGGTGCTTAGTTGTTCTATTCACTTACAGAATATTATACAACACAAATGAATGAACTATTAATATAGCCAATAACATTTATAAATCTCACAAGCACAATATTGAACAAAAGAAGACAAGCAATACATATTGTTTTACTATATAGAAAGCTGAGGAACAAGTAAAACTATTCTGGAATGTTAGAAATCAGAACAGTGATATCTTCTGGGAGGAAAGAGGAAGTACATAGCTATGTTTACCTGGTGATTCATTCATTCAGGTATAGACTTATGACTTGTGCACGTCTCTATGTTTGATAGACTTTAACAAGTAGGTTGTTTGTAATCAGAATATTTAAACACAATATATATTATTTTTGCAGCTTATTTTTCTTATCAGGATAATCTGTTCTTGCAAAGTTCTTAAATTTATGAGTGCAGTTAAGACATCTGTAGATAGTGTTGCTAATAGGAATTAAACAATTATCGTGGTGTTCTCTTACACACCTTGACAGTGTGCTCCCATACAGACATATGATGGATGTGTGACTAAAGAGTCAGAAGGATGAAAAAGTAGTGACAGCATTTTTCCAAATTCCTCCATTAATCTTTGTATTTTAAAAGATGAGTGTTAATTTCAAGAACCAAAAAATTTTTTAAAAGGCAGAAAAACATTCTCTCGTGGATAAGATCCCATCAATTAAATCAGAATCTCTAAGAGGGAAGTTTAAGCATTTAATATACAAATTTAAATGTACCCCTTAAAAAGGTGATTTTTAACGCACATCCTGGCTTTATGCACTTTCTAAACAATTTCTTAATATAGTCCTTTTGTTTGTTTTAATAATTAATTCCATTTGTGATATTAAACAATATGGGAAATCATGATTACACACTGGAAGGCCGTGGTAGCACGTTAGAGAGCAGTGTGGACAGCAGAGAAGCTTTGCATTAGCGACTGGCCTGTGCCTTTGACTTGTACCTGGTGGTAATACACAGAATTCTGTGAGGCTTCATATGAAGCTAATTAGATTCTCTGGAAAATTGGATTATGTGAAACTGAAGTCATAAGGTCACAACTCTGTCCAAGTGTTACTGAATGTTGTGCAGGCTGGCGAAAGCACAGGCAGCATGTTCCCTCAAACTGTTTTCTGTTCCCACTGCTCACGACTTGACCTAACCTCAAAAGTCAGGCATTCAAGTATTTCAAAATGCACAGCTACTAGAATGAGAATAAGTCTGGGAAGATATAGTAACTGATATGTGTGTGTGTGTGTGTGTGTCTTCCTCCTTAGTTCTAGGTTGTATTTCAGGCTTCTGACCCAAAAATACAACGAATGATGGTAATAGGGAAGAACTGAGGGCTGTGGTAAGATTTGGGCTTTAGATTTGAAATACAAAGCATTTACTCAAAATCCCCAACATTATAGTTTTGTTTGTATGATGCTGAATGGTGTTTCAGTGCATCCAGGTCCTCCTCACACTACTAGAATCAGTAAGCTGATGATCAATCAGTGTGGATGAGATAAAAGGGGAGGAATCCAAGATAATTCCAACAATGATGTCAGTAGCCTAGTGAGGTATACTGAGAGAGACATAGTGTTCAGGATCAGGGAACTGGTAGTACATTCCATTTTGATCACATGAAGTTTGAAGTGCAAAAGTTCAGCAGGCATCAGAATTCTGTGACTATAGCTAAGGAGATAATTCTGCAATGAACAAAGAGTCTTAAAAGTCATTGTCAATTTGTGTGGTTTTTGTGGCAATTGATTTTTATGCAATTGAATATGTATATATGTATACTGTGTGTTTATACCTATGTATATGTACATTAGTATAAACATATGCTAAGAAAAAACAAGATCAAGGGGAGACCTGTGGGTAATATTCTCAATATAAAAAATGATATGAGGAACAGAAACTATCAAAAGAGACTGATGAGTGGGAGAAATGGTGAGAAAATAAGTGTCATAGAGTTGGAGGGAGGAAAGAGTTTCCAGATAGAGGCAATGACTACAGTGTCAGGTGTCACAGAGGGGTCAAGAAAAGTAAGAGTTAAGTCACTGTAGTTAGCGATAAGGAGTCACTGTAGCTAGCTTTACTCTTAGCAAAGGCAATTTCAGAGAGATGGGAGGGAAAGACTCTTGACAGCAATGGAACAAGAAAGAATGAGAGATGAGAGCAGGTACTCTTTAAGGAAACTGCGAAGAAGGGGTGACAAAATACCAGAGGAAGAAGGCATGGTAAGGGAAAGAGGGTGGGATTTTGTTGCGAGGGTTTTGTTTGAGAACAGTTTATATTATTGCCTATTTATGAACTAAGGTGTACAACGGCAATTTATATTTATAGGAGTTGGGTTTGTAAAAGCAAAGTCCCAAAGAAGGGCCAAAAGGATAGGATGTAACGAGCCCAGACAGAGTTTCTAGTTAGGCCAGGGTATGAGACAGGTGGTGACAGGTAACTAAAGGGTAGCTGGAAAAGTGAGGGTTAGCAAAGAGAGGTCATGACAGGTGGCAGTAAAGAGAAAAGGAGGAGTATTTTGAAATCCAGAGTCCAATGTGTAATTTCCTTTAGCAATGAGGTCTTTACTGCCCACTGTGCTCTGTTTTAGGGATTTGCTCTCTTAAGATGAGTAAGATGCTGTGAATCAGAGGCCTCTCTGCACTTCCCTCAATTATCACTGAGCCTAAGAAAGCTCTTTCCACTTGCCCTTTCTTTCTGTTCCCATTCCTTTTTTCTGTTTTGTTTTATAATCTCCTGCATCATTTCCTCCTCCCCTTCCTACAGCTCCTCCTGCCTTCTTTCCCTAGGGGTCCTTCTCTTTCTCATCTCCTGTTTTTTTTCTTTTTTAAAAAAAAGATTTATTTATTTATTCATACAGAACTGGGGTACAGGCCAGAGATGCGGAGGGTGAGAGGATTCACCAGAGAGAGGGTGGGGAGCAGAACAGGCAGATCCCTAAAGTACACTGCTGAGGGGAGCAGCGGCGGGTCAGGAAAGGTCTGCGGAGCCACGTGGTCACCTCCCAGGCAGGGCAGGATCGAACTCATGTGGAAGTGGCTTAAGCTTCTTAGTGCTGTGTTTTATTTTGTTTTGTTTTAAGATTTATTTACTTGTGCATACAGAACTGGGGTACAGGCCAGAGATGTGGAGGGTGAGAGGCTTCACCAGGGACACAGTGGGGAGCAGAACAGGCAGATCTACCGAGTGCTCTGCTGAGGGGAGCAGCGGGCGGGTCAGGAGAGGTCTGCCACGCCATGTGGTCACCTCCCGGGCAGGCGGGGATGGAACTCTTGCAGATGTGGCTTTAGCTTTAACCCGCTGCACCACCAGGGAGGGCCCTCCTGTTTCTTTTACGGGCACACCTATCTCTTGATTCCATCTATTGCCTTTCTCTTCCTTTCCTTCAATTGGCTAAAAGAAGGATCAAGATCACTGTTCTGTTTTTATATTTACTAACTGAACATTTGCTTTTATGATTATTTTATTAAAATAAGTAAGTTAGAGCCTTCCCTGGTGGTGCAGTGGGTTAAAGCACAGCACTGCAAGCTAGCCACGGCCATTTCAGTGCGTTTTTGATCCTGGGCCCTGGAGGTGGCCCACATGGCACAGCAGACCTCTCCTGTCTCCCCCGCTGCCCCCTTAGCAGTGTACTTCCTCCATCTGCCTGTTTCCCTCCTCACTTTGTCTCTGGTGAATCCTCTCAGGCCCCCCCGCCGCCCCCCCCCCGTACCTCTGGCCTGTGCCAGATTAAAATAAATCTTTTTTTTTTTTTTAAGTTAAAACTGTTATTCTTCTTTCTCTAAATCTGTGCACAGTCTCAATTAGTTTTATTCTGTTGGTTCTGATCCTTGATAAAATTAACTTTCCCCATTTCCACTATTGCTAATAGAGAAGAAAACAGAACGTGTCTCACACATACTGTTGAGGCCCTAAGAGAGGACTTAAAGGTGACTGTCTAAAGAAAATGACATTCTTTCAAAAGTTCTGTACATGTTGTGCTAACAAAGAAAACATCAAAGGAAAAAAAAACATTCATAGTGATGGCCATATATTCAGTGTTACAACTAAACAGAGGAGGATACAAAAACAAATTTATGGCCAAAGAAAACTGGTTGCTTCTGCAAATCTCATGCTGTTTGTTGCTAGCCAAGAAATCAGTGTCCTTGTCACTCCTCTGACCTGGCACCAAGAGTACTGAAGGGCCCACGTTACCCTAACGAGACAGCTGACACTCTCCCTTCTGCTGAACGGGCACAGTACCCAGCCCACGCAGCACCCAGGTCTTGGCATAGCAGGGACAGACACACAACTCTGTGCGACTCTGGCTTTCTGTCTTTCTCAGTCACAAGTTTCACACTGTGCTTCAGCAGAACCAATCCTCGGCACTGACTATGATTTCTGTTGAGAAGGGGTATTTAAAAATTGCATCCACTGCTAAATTCTGAGCCCAGTCTCCCAAGAGCCGAAATGGTGCTCAAATTTATGAATGCTAAATAACTTCAATTATAAACTACTTGCTTAAATGTCTTGACTTGCTTTTTCTAAGGCAATCTTCAATTTAAAAAAAAGGGGGGGGGCACTCCTGCATTTTTTATTGGAGAATAGGACGTAAAGAGAAAGAATCTTTGGAGAGTACCAAGGATGAAGCTGGGAAGGGACTCCCTAAGAAGTTCTGGGTTCAGATTCCCAGAAATTCAAGACACATTGGAGGGGTGGGCTTAGGGTACTCCCCACCCCCCCACCCCCCACCCCTGGCTTAGGCACTGAGAGTACAGCAGGCTTGGTGGCGTCATCATTAACTAAAGTTGAGGTGAGCCAGAGAGCAACCCTTACCACACTAGGGAATAAGTAAATCAAACCGGTCTCTGCTTTCAAACCTCCCGAGCTGCTCCCACAGGAGTTCACTGCAGCCAGCAGAGCTGTAGGAGGTGTGTAGCAGGCTCCTCACACTCTCCTTTCCTTAGTGCTGGGTCGCACTCTTTCACTGAAGAATGAAGGACCCAATGAGATAATTCACAATAAATTACTAGTTGGAGAGAAAGTAACTTCATGAAATTTCTTTTGGTGGCATTTGCATTTTACAGGAGGGCTTCAGAAAGCAGTCCCTAGCCCAAACAGAACACACTCTTGGCCAGAACTTTGGTCAGAGCGCAGGCAACTGGGGATGCGTGGGGCCCATCTGTTCCTCCAGAGGCGCCGTGGGGGTTATCTGCTCAGCAAGTCTTAGAAAATGAGCTTTTGCCAGGGATACATTAAATGTATTTTGAAGTGTTATTTACACGCTCCAAAATAGACTTCCAACCTTTTCCTTTTTCAGTCCATTTCTGACACCCAAACTCAGTGCTTTATTATAAAATCTTAAGAGAATCTAAATGCTTTAAAAGTATCTGGAAATGAGGCCCTCCCTGGTGCAGCAGGTTAAACCCCTAGTGGTGCAGTGGGTTAAAGCACAGCACTAAGAAGCTAAAGCCACTTCTGCATGAGTTCGATCCCCGCCCAGGGAGCTGACCCACATGGCACGGCAGACATCTAAAACTCACCTGCTGGTCCCCTCAGCAGTGTACCTTGTCAATCTGCCTTTTCTGCTTCCCACTCTGTCTCTGGAGAATCCTCTCACTGCCCCTGCACTTCTGGCCTGTACCCCAGTTCTGTATACATAAATAAATAAATCTTTTTTAAAAAAAAGTATCTGGAAAGGTAAACAAAGTAATCACCTGTATTAGAATAGCTTCTTGGGCACCAAAATACATAAAATTGATCCTTTCCCTTTTTGATCACTCAAAAACTGAAACAACAAACCCCCATGAGTTTGCTTTGTCAGTTTGATGGAACCTGAACTCCCATCACAACTGCTAAGGCTTCCTTGCCTATAATTTGAGATAAGTGATTTCTGCTTGCTAACCTAAGCTTTTCTCCCTTCCACTCTCCCACTTATATTTCTCAGGACAAACGTTGCCTTTCACTTCACTGCCAGTCCTTCTCAACCTCAGGTAAGTGAAGAATTCCAAGGTTATGATTTTACCTGTTGTGTTATTCAAATAAATCATGGTGACAGGTAGAATTAGCATGTGGTTTGAACTTGAGCTGTATCTGTACATTTGTCACTGGGATTTAATCTTATCACCTGAAATGATTAGAAATGGAGGCATGGCATTGGTTTGTAAATGCTCCTTGGTTCAATCTTTATTCAGCAAATCATGTGCCTTGTATGCTCCAAGTACATTTTTGGAACAAACTAGGTGCTGGGGACAGAGAAATAAAAGAGAGAAATGCAGCTTCTAACACCATGGACGTTATAATTCTGACAGAAGTGTGGGGACAAGCAGTAGAAAGCCACCACTAATAACCAATTGAGTTGGAAATATAATAAAAATAAGATAGATTTTCATTTCCACAGTATTTTCAGTAGAATAGTTTCTCCTGTCATGATGAGAAAACAGTCATGTTAACAAAAATTATTAGAAAAGTAAGATTTCTTATTCTGCTCTCCATTAAATAATCACAAGTAGCATAAATACATAAAAACTCTGATAAATTCAGGATTTCTTTTTTTGGGGGGGTGACATTTCTAGCTACCTTTCTTTCCCTCTACCCCCAAAGTTTCTTAAAGAGTAAAGTCTATCCTATAACTAGTGTAAGATCTACTTTGTATTTATTTGTGCATGCAAGAACTGGGGTGCAGGCTAGAGGTGCAGGGGTGAGAGGATTCACCGGAGACAGAGTGGGGAGCAGAAATTTTACTGAATTTTACTGAAATACACTACTGAGGGGAGCATCAGGCAAGACGAGAGAGGCCTGCTGTGCCATGTGGGTCAGCTCCCTGGAGGTGGGGGGGGGGGCAGCGGTATCAAACTTGGGCCGTAGTGGCTGGTGATAGCTTCATAGCACTGAGACTTTAAGCCCCTCACCACAGAGAGGCCTTGTTCTATAGCAAGTTTGAAACAGATTTATCTAATGCCCTGATCTTTACTGTAAATGTGCAGGCTGTAGTACAGCTTTGGTCATAAATGGCTACTTAGTTTTTGCTTTGGACATACTAAAACTAAGATTAACATTTTCTATGGAATCTGCTGTAGCTCTACTGCAGCCACTGGTGTGCTGGTAAATATTTAACAACGGCTTCTTGGAGAAAAAGCCCCTGACTTGTTGTGTTTACCCATTTCTGCAGTTTAACTATCTCTAGCATGGCCAGTTTCAACATCATGTCACTGAGCACAAAATCGGGACAAGACACGTGCCATCACTTCCCTTGTTGCAACTGGCGCAACATAAACGGGAGTCCTGGGGCAGGCTGCGAAACGCAGGATGCTGCTGAGAGCAAGGCCTGGCCTTTTTCCTGATAGAATAATCCCACAGCATCAGTGACATGTGGTAGGAGGACCAAGAGGAAAAGATGGGAGAAACTAAAGAATGTGTGTTTTGGTCACCTAGGGCTTCAGGGGTGACATCAGTCTGCTGACCAGATAATTCTTATTGTGTGATAACCAAGTGCTGTTATCAAAACAACACCCCAGGGCCCCAGCCATGATTCCAACCTTATCAACAAGGCTTTCCACTGATGAGATCCGGGGGGCCCCTTGCCTTACATGGTCCTCAGCCCCTCAGGCTTTATACCTCGCAATGTATAGCCTTCCCAGAGCCATCAAGCTTTCTGCTCTTGGTTGATTTGAAAGGCACCTTGTAATATTTTTCTGTGACTGATAGGAATGCAGAACTACAAGTAGTAAAAATGGTAGCTGAATAGGCCGCTTAAGTCTAGCAGACCCACACTCCCCCAAATCTATTTCAGCTAACTCTCCCATACTTCAAGATTTAAATGTGCCCAGCATAGAAAACCTCCACAGTGCATATATATTGTCACCCACCAACAGAAGAGGACTACAGGCCCACAATCCATTGCCCTCAACATGTATTGGCTACTTAATTCATAAAATATTTGAAAGCACTTAGCTACTTAATTCATGAAATATTTGAAAGCACTTCATGCTAGGTGCAATGGGAGGTATCTAGAGAAGGAGGGGGACACTTGTACCCCAGTGGAAAAAGTGTTCAGTCTCACAGTCCTGGACAAAGCTGCAATAAGTATGATATATTGAATGAATGTTGCAATGTAGTTTGTAGATTGAAAGTCAGTGGTGATTATTTTTTATGGCTTCTTTTTAATTTAAAAAGATATATAATAAGAGTGCCTAAATATTTTGCAAGTGAACCCTAAATTAGAGGAATATACATTTTGGATAAGCTAATAAAACAAAAGGAGATTCTTTGTTATCTATAAAAATCTTACTTTACTCTTAACTGTTCCCTTTTTGGCCTGTATTTTATATTTTATATATTCTTCAACTGCAGAAAAGGTTTTCTATTGCTATGAACTTCTCACTCAAGTTATTATACTTTCTCAGACAACCTGCATAGTCAATTTCCACCTCTGGCCCTATAAACAGTAGTAACAGGTTATAGAAACTGGGTAAGTAATAAGGACTCAGATAGTGATGTTTAGCCTAAATCCCAGTCATTGCTTTGGGTATATATCATTTGCTTTTCTCTAGTAGATTATGAAGGCAAGAGTCAAAAACTTTTATTTGTGGCTTATGATAATTTAGAGATAAAGAAGGTTGATAATACTTTGGCACATACAAAGGATTCAGTAGACATCTCCTGCCTGCACCAAGCCTACTCTTGTGTTACACAGGAACATATATGATGTTCATTATGGCAAACAGCTACCAGAGTAGTGCTCTTGAATGATAAAGTACATTTCTCATACAAACCAAAAGCACCTTTTAGGAATTCCAGACTGTTCACCTTAGGAAAGCCCTATATATATATATATCTGAATCAAGCACCAAATGAAAGCAAAAAATGAAGTGGCTTTTGGGAGTGCTGCCATCTGTTACAAGCCATGAACAGATTTCCAAACAGCAGCGTTAATGACGTTCTTTCTTCTTGAGATTATCTATCCCCATGAGAATATGGTTTTTGAAAACCATTCTATTTTTATTGCCTTGATTCTCAGAACGTAAGTAAAGAGGATATCAGAATGCAAAGTTAGGTTTTACCATATTTTTTCCACTCCTTTAAAGTGATAGGTTTATTAGAATCCTAAGATACAGGATTTGTTTAGTTGGTTCCCTCAAAATCTTTTTTCCCTCAAAATATTAATCATGAATTTAATATCATGTTTTGCAGCCTTTCAAATTAATAGGCAGAAGTTCCCTTTCTTCATTATTTGCAACATTTTTAAAAACTTAAGAGTTAATAGATGTTTCTGGTGGATTCATAATCTGAATCGATTAACCACTTTCTATTTCAAGTGTTTCCTGATCTTTATATACTTTTAAAGATATCTCAACCTGCCCAAAACGGTTAACATATTTCTGAGGGGCAGATATAGGACTTGGATCTTTCAATCAAATGTACCCTCACTACATTCCAGCTGTGAAATATATATATATTTTTTCTTTTTTTTTTTCTTTTTGCTAAAAGTCTAGGGGAAGAGTGAGTGTAGTGCTAATTCTTATCGATAGGAAAGTAGTTAAGTTTCTCAAAGAACAGGTTTATCTGCTTTTCAAATGGAACGCAGCATTTCAAAATGACCTCCCAGAGTAAATCTTGTCTCATGTTACTTCCCATATATCCCTAACTGAAAGGGTTGGAGGGATCTCCTCCCGTAGCAAGAAAATAAAGTTCAGCAAAGTTTAATTGAGAGTGAAATAACGAAATGTGCCAACATTGTATGAAATGGCTACTTTGACTATTCTCTGCTGTACCTGAATGTCTGGCATAGAGCCCTGCACAGGGCATTTGCTCAATATGAAGGCGTTGCCTGAACTACTGGAGGCTTACTGAGATTTACATCTAAACTTTGTGCCTAATATCAGAAGAAACAATCATATTCATGTGAAAATAGTTTGAGTTTTTGACTGTAAATACTTCCTAATATTAACAAGTCAATTCTTTTACTTATTTTCAGTATTTTTTGTATAAATTTCCTGAAGGCGTCGACTCAGTCATCATTAAAGTCATGTCTGAAGTGGCTTATCCCTGCTCTGTAGTCTCAGTCCAGAATATCATGGTGAGTTTTAGTAACCTGTCCATCTCCCAACATGAGGCATTATATTGTCTCAGGATAAATGAAAGAGGAAGATGGGAAACATGCCACCTTCTTACTGTGTCTCTCTTTCAAAACTGTTCAAATAATAAAAGCAGCATTTTGTGCATACGAGTGGGCAGTCTATATTTGGAGACACTGACTTGGAGAATAAGACTGTACCTAACTAGTCACCAAAATAAACAAAGGAAGGAGGAAGGGAACATCATGACAAAGAACAGGTTGAGGGCTGCACAAGAAAAACAAGATATCTATCATTTGTTCTATGTTTTTAAATTTTACTGTAACAATAGGCCCTTTCTGTCTTATAAAGTATTAATTAAAAAATGGGAAAGGTATTATAAACTTTAAAACCATCTTTTCAGTTCTTTGATACAAAGTGACAGAGAGGACAAAGCACCAAGACTTAGGGAGGCTATTTCATGACTGCTCTGGGTAAACTTTTTGTGTTTTCTCACTTAATAAGGAACTTCCTGCTCTGTGATCCAGATAGCATTGGTGCTATATATAACATAACATTTTATGATATGCTGATGCTTTCCTTCTTATTCCTCATGCACATTACAGTGCCCAGTGTATGATCTTGACCACAATGTGGAATTTAATGGTGTCTATCAGACCATGACCAAGAAGGCTGCCATCACACTACAGGTGAGACATAAATTGTATTGTCAGTGACAATGTGCAGTTTACAAGGAGTTTACTTACTGAACCAGCATCCAAAGTGATCACCATTCACTGTGTGGCCTGGATCTCTTTCCTTTCTGATCCTTTTTAAAACAAAGACTGTTAGACTTGAAACCAAACTAGGGAGATGGTAGTCAATGCTACTCTATCTGGTGCCCTCAGGAATCTTGGGAAACCATGATGCTGTGTGACATATACTGGACAGGTACTGGAAGAAGATTCCAACCTATTCATTAGGAGATAGCAATGCAGGGTAAAGTTTATCTAATACATATAAGTCAATTATACATATTCGAATACTCTGTACCAGTAACAATAAAGAAAAGAGGATTTCAACTCTGGACAGAATGGACAAGTTCAAAAAGAATATAGACCACATTTGAGCATCTGTAACTAAATTTTTGATAGTAATTTTATAATAAATGCATCATGTCACTATGTTTTCAAAGTATGTGTCCCTATCTTTGGGTGGTATTTACTCACAGTTCATAAATCTGATGTTTTCTATGGTAAAATACTATCTAGTGAATAACAACCAAAGAATGAGAAGAGGTCAATTATATTTATAATTTAGGTATCAGACCTAAACATTTCCATCAGTCATGCTTTAATTCCCTAGTGTAATTTACCATTTGCTTTCATTCATTCATGAATAAGGAACTAGGATACAAAGAGACAGAGAAAGTCAAAGCCATAACTGTAGCTCAGGTCTCCTGACAAGAGTCTTTGCCTCCCTAACCTAAATTACTTATTTTCCTGTTCACACTATGACTTTCAGGAAATTCAATCATTAGATTTTCAAATAATAAAAACCGAACATGATGAACTTAAAACTGTTCTGAAAAGTGTATTAGTTTAAAAATACACAAGTATTAGTTACTAAACATAGATTGTCAACATTTTTCATGTGGGCCCTATTACAGTTCTAAAAACTCAAGTGGGCACACGATTAAATGAAATCAGAACAGTCTATTTAACTTCTTGGAGGTAACAACTATTGTGGATAATCTGGAGTAGATCATGGGTATGTGAAGACTTTCTAAGAAGTTAGGAAGCAGGGATGAACTTTACATTTCTTCTTTTTCCTTTTTCTTTCTGCACCCACCCCTACCAACATGGACTTTCTATCTTCTCACTATCTTTTTTTACCTGCTTATCATAAGATTGTTATGTCTTATGCAGAAGAAGGATTTTCCAGGCGAGCAGTTCTTTGTAGTATTTGTGATAAAGCCTGAAGATTACGCCTGTGGAGGATCGTTCTTCATACAGGGTAAGAAACAGTAAGGAACATTTGGCTCTTTAGAAAATTTAATAGAATGAAATGGAAGAAACCCTAAAGTTCATGTTGACCCAGAATAACTATTTCTAGTTCCTGCTAAATGAGTATCATCATCAGTGTTTTGTAAGGCAGTCGAGGAAAGATACTTGAGAAAAATACAGAGAAAAGAAAACAATATATCTATACATATTATTGATACTACAAACTGCATCTTCTCAAAGCCTTGTGCTCCCTAAGTCATGTGAATTTGACTCTTAAAAAAATACTTGTTATGGCCCTCCCTGGTGGCGCAGCGGCTTAAAGCACAGCACTAAGAAGCTTAAGCCGATTCTGCATGAGTTCGATCCCCACCTGCCCCGGAGGTGACCACATGGCACGGCAGACCTCTCCTGACCCGCCCGCTGCTCCCCTCAGCAGTTTACTTCATCAGTCAGCCTGTTCTGCTCCCCACTCTGTCTCTGGTGAATCCTCTCACCATCCCTACACCTCTGGCCTGCCTGTACCCCAGTTCTGTATGAATAAATAAATAAATCTTTTTAAAAAAATACTTGTTATTACATAGTAATGATTTTATACAGCAGATTAAGGTCCATTTTCTAAGACGGTTTTAGTAAACAGTCTTATGTAATGGAAGCACTTATATTTATCAGTATTCATTCCTTCAACAATGTGTAAGGAAAATCCTCAATTCTGTTTGCCAAAATTGCAATTGGTAAGATAGTAAGAAAGCCAAGTAGGATAACTTATTCCAATGGCAGAGGATATGTGAGGTATTAGGCATAGTACACATGATTGTGGCTAACTACCCAAAACTACCTTGAGAATGAAATATGGTATTATTTGAAAACACAGACCCCCTCCCCCCCCAAGTGGTTGATGTCATATATGATGAACACAGAGTATTCCCTTGATATTCAAATGAAATGTCTGTTTGTGTATTCCTTGGTCTTTTAACATAGTTTCAGAATTTTGCAATGTCCAATGTTCTCTTGTAAAGCACAAACCTTTTGATGACAAATATGTAAAGAGAAACAAATTCTGACTGGCTAGGATAATACAAACCAAAAGATGCTGTAACTTCTATTTTTTACGGCTTTTTCCTTCAGATATCTGTGGCATAGCAAGCCATGTGGATGTGGGGCAAAGGGTCAAGCCTTCTTCATTTGAGAAGGGAAGCTGAAGATTCATTAGTGTCCGTGCTGCCAAAATGCACCCAAGCAAAGAAAGGCTAAAATGAAAGTTTTAAATATTAGATAGTTTGAAGGTGTGGCATTAGGTTTCCTCTAATTCTTGCTAAAAGGAAATTCAGCAACCAGAGTTAACTATCATTTTTGAACACTGCTCACAAGAGAGGTCAAGAACTCACTGTCTGATTCATTGTGCCTTGTTCTTTTTTTAATCAGAAAAGGAGAATCAGACCTGGAATCTACAACGAACGAAGAACCTTAAAGTGACCATTGTTCCTTCTATCAAAGGTCAGAATTGTCTAGGACTCAGTGGAGAGATTCTTCTTTCAGGAAAGCTATTATGTAATTCAATACTAAAGCCATCTTTTGAGAGAGAAATATCATTAATGTTTACCTTAACTATAGAAGATAGAAGAGAGCATTTTGTTAATTCTCCCCTAGTAAGAAAGAAAATTCAATTATGCACAGGAAGTCCAACCTCAGCTACCCTGGGAAGTCATCACTGTGGATAAAGTTGGGGAGATCTCTACTAGCTTTGCTGCTTTAAATAAAAATGTCTTAGGACTTAAGAATGTGTGTGATGGATATGGGCGCTAGAAGATGTTTTACCTCAAACATGGTTCTCTCTTAACCTGAGAGTATACTGACCAAAATTGTTTCTCTTCCCTCAGAATCTGTTTATGTGAAATCCATTCTTCTCAGTTTCCTCATCTTCCTCTCCTTCTACTTGGGATGTCTACTAATTGCCTTCATTCATTGTATCAGGTAGGTCATGAGTTTCAAGAAAATTTATTCCTTTTTACCAGTCTGCATAGTTATTGCACAGCTCTGTTGTTAGATTAGACTCAAATCTAACTCAGTCATGTTTTAACTGTGTGACCATGAACAAAGTTATTTATCTTCTTGATGCACAGTATAAATGCAGTATTTACATCGATGTCCAACACAGAGTACATGCTGGTAGAGTTAGTTATTTTCATGGTTGATTAAACAAAAACATACTTTGTGTAGGAAATGATCATTCTTCCTAGCATGAAGATTTAGAAAGGGCTTTAAACATTCCATCAAAAAATAAAATTAATTTCTAAAATAAATTTTGAGACATAAAAAAATAGCAATAGTAATACATAACAGTGCTTTTCTTCTGTAATAGCATCAATTTTTCAGTAAAATATACGTGGGAAAAAAATGAGATAATTTGACTATCACCAGGGAAATTTGCCAAGAGTTTGAGGCCTCTAGTAAAAAGGGCTTTAGACTTTTCTTGAGTCTCTCAGCATGGCTGACCCTTGAAAATGTCATTCTTCCCTGTGGTCTCTATGAAACAACTACAAAAGAATAGCAGGAGATTTATAATAAACAAATGTTCTTTCTCCTCTTGAACATGTAAAAGAAACAAAGCCAGCATTAGAATTTTCTAATGGGCAAAATTAATCTCATCTGTAAAAAGATACGTCATGGCTACCACAGTGATACAATTATTTCAATGAGACAGGCCTACTTCTCACTCAAAAACTCATTCCCTTTTGGATCTTTATGAAATTTTTCACTTGAGAAGCTATCTTAAAAACCCAAGGACTGGCCCTCCCTGGTGATGTAATGGGTTAGGACACAGCACTGCAAATAAACCCACAGCCGCTTCAGCACGAGTTCGAGCCCCGGTCCCATAGGTCACCCACATAGCGAGGCAGACCTCTCTTGACCCGCCCACTGTTCCCCTGAGCAGTGTATTCCCTCAATCTGCCTGTTCTGCTCCCCATTCTGTCTCTGATGAAGACTCTCACTGCCCCTGCACCTCTGGCTTGTGTATCTTTAAAAAAAAAAAAAAGGAAAAGATGGTGATGGCACATGGGTGATTTGGTGATGGAAGTCCAAGGGGATTACAACTGAGATGGAAAAATGCACAAAATGATGTAAAAATAAACTAGTATATTATTCATTTAAAAAAAACCGAACTGATAAAGATAGCTAGTGGGGAATAGACTCAGGTGGGAAGTAGTAGACAGGGATTGTTATTATTCATTTATTGTCCTTTCATATAATTTGTTTTTTGTCATGTGCAGCATGTATTTGTATTTATATCTAAGTAATCAAAAATAAGCATAATATAAACTTAAAAAAAAAAAAGCAAGGACTGCTACTGACCACATCTGGGACAGTTTGAGCCCCAGAACAATTAAGAAGAATAGTGAATTATAACCACCAACAAAAATAAAAACCCATGAATGTATATTGATAAGGGAAAAAGGAAGGAGGGAGGAAAAGAAGGACTTAAAAACCTCAGACTTATATGCAACACATTCAATAAAGATATCAAAACAAGTAAACATGGGGAGAAAGAGTTTGGGCATTCTTGCCAAAATATGGAGGAAGTGATAAGATTTGGAAAAATCATTATTTTTGCATATCCTGGGTTAAGATCATCACTGGCTACTAAAATGAGTAGGATAATCTGATGAGGATCAATATACCTGCACAGCCTTAAAGTATAATAGCCACAACTGCGTAAGCGTGTAGGGGAAAAGTAATAATTACATACAGTGAGGAAATCAGACCATGAATGATTGAGCATTTACAATGCTGTGTATGGTTTTGAGGTGTATGTTTTGAGTCTCCCTCCCTTCAGGTGGTAATACCACACCATATACACCACCAGAGCACACACAGCCCTTCCAACAGCCCGTTGTGCTCCCTTCATACTTTGTCCTCACTCCACTGTCTTTCCCTCCCCTTCTGGTCATCTCAGTTCTTCATTCAGATTTCTATTCAGATTATTGGTTTGGCTTCACTGGACCTTTCATCTGGTTTTCCTATATTCCACATATAAGAGACACCACCCAGTATTTGTCTTTCTCCTCACTAATTTCACTTAGCATAACTCCCTCCAGCTTCACCCATGGTGTTACAGATGGCAAGAGTTTTCCTTTTTAAATAACTGAGTAGTATTCATTATGTGGGCTCTCCCTGGTGGTGCAGCTGGTTAAAGCACTGCATTATGAAGCTCTCAGAAGCCACTGCAGCATGAGTTATGCTAAGTGAATTCTTGTTGGTGCAATTACAAATGGTATTGTTTTCTTCATTTCATCCCTTCTGGCTCACTGTTTGTTTATAGGCAATTGATTTTCAAGTATTGATTTTACAACATGTCACTTTGCTGAACTAATTTATTGTTTCAGTTCATTTTTTAAGGCTGTCTTTAGTGTTTTCCATGTAAATTATCACATTATCTGCATTTATGACAGTTTTACTTCTTCTTTCCCAATTTGGGTTCCTATTATATCCTCTTGCCTAACTGTTCTAGCTAGAAATGCTAATACTGTGCTGAGTGGTAGTGGTGATGAAAGTGGACAAGAGGGATTCTATTTTTAAAGAGTCTAAAGGCTCTCACAGTTTTCACTTTATGTGTTCCATGTCATGGAGAAAAGAGTTCATCTCTTTTGCCTCTCTTAGGGAAACTGTCTCTACTGTCAATGTTTTTAATAATAATAAAAAAAACATACTTCATCTTTTTAATTAGCTGGCATGCATACTAAATATACAGACAGAAAATTAAGTTAATAGCACTATATATTCTCTCTAAATTTACTATTCAGTCTACCTAAAACAGCACATTGTTTGAAATGCTGTAAGGCTCAGCTGAAACCTCACCTGCCAGTATATTTTTCTATAGTTCAATGTATATGCATAGATTATTTCCAAGTATTGACAACCTGACAATACAAATATAGAGACATAAAAACTATCTGGGCCCTCTCTGGTGGCTCAGCGGGTTAAAGCACTGCACTGAGAAGCTAAAGCCACTTCCGCATGAGTTCGATTCCCACCTGCCCCGGAGGTGACCACATGGTGTGGCAGACCACTCCTGACCCGCCCGCTGCTCCCCTCAGCAGTGTACTTCGTCGATCTGCCTGTTCTGCTCCCCAATCTGTCTCTGGTGAAGCCTCTCACCGCCCCAAGTCTCTGGCCTCTACCCCAGTTCTGTATGCATAAATAAATAAATCTTAAAAAAAAAAAACTATCTGGCTGGGAAAAGGCACAAATTGATATAAAAATAAACTACTGTATTATTTAAAAAAAACTATCTGGCATTCTAAATACTGGAACAGTCTGAGGAAAAAGGATAACTGAACTCTTCTTTCAATGTACTAGGCAGAAATAACAAAATTTTCTACAAAACCAAATAAATTCACTCCTATAGTGTAATGAAATTTGCTTGGTGAATCCCCAGTACTTTATTATTAATACCTGTGGGGTTTGTTATATATGTGTGCCATCTGGATGAAAATACCAGTGAGACATAGCTTCTGCTCTGTCTTAGGGAGTTAATAATGCAAAATGTCTTTGTGTTATATTGGCCTCAGTCTAAACATCATTACCTCTCCCCCTCCCACAATGCCACAGTCCAATTCATTCAACAAGAATTTATGGAGCCACACAGTGAATGTACAAACTCAGGACAATGCACTACATATGTATCCCCATGGTTGTTTTTCTCACCTACCTGCCAGACACTGAGTTCAATCTATATGATCCTGGATAATTGTCCTTCCATTTATTCTTGTATAAGTTATTAATCTGCATAATAATACTATCACAAAACTCCACTGGCTTACAGAAATAAGTGTTTTAAGTTTGGTCACAAATCTATGGGTTAACTAGATTGTTTGGCTAATCTGACGGCGCTCAAAGATCAATCAGTTAGAAAGTAAGCTGGAAGATAGTTCTTCTAGACTTATCTCAGTTGCACTTGGCCTCTCATCCTCCAAGTCAGTCTTATCATGGCCAAAATAGCAAAAAAAGAACAAGGCCTCCTTAATATATAGGTTCATAGGCAGAACAATATGCCCGCTCATCCTATTGACCAAAACAAGTCATAAACACTACCTACCTTACCCTAGCTTTGCAATCGGGAGTCATTTTGTTACAGGGCAGAGAGAGGGGCACCACTGAACCCCCAACCTGCCTGCTCTAAGTAGGTTCTGCCATCTGCCGCATCAAGACAAAGCATATAAGACTTTAATGAAAAGGAACTTTAATACAGTGAGTATACAATAGAGAAGGCAAAGAAATTAATTTCTAAGTCAAACACCTGAAATTACCCGTCCCCTCGTGGGCAAAAGTCCACCCAAAGGGATTGGTCCAAAGCAAGGCCTGAAAGACTAAGGCATCTTCAGGCCAGAACCCATGCAAAAGGGTCAGAAATGGCCAGACAAGTCTGGGAGGAAAAGAGCACAATCAGAATCAATATAAACACTGCAATAATCAACCTCCCCACGAGTCTCTCACCCACATGTCTTTCAACCAGTCCAGGGCCAAGAAATAAACATGGGTTCTTCACATGTCTCCCTTTGCTTCATGTGGCTTCCTTATATCTCCTTCCGGCTCTCCATCCTGTTTCCTTCTTTCTCCTTTTCTCTGCTCAGCTCCACCCTCCTTCTGGGTGGGGCAGGGAACCTGGAACTTCTGCTTTTCCTGGGGGCCACCCTGTTACAATTTAACTCCTTTCATTAAATTCAAGACCTAGCACAAATGTTTGGTAGTCTGTTCAAACAATCCAAAATATATCATCTCTTATAACTTCATATAACTGCTTGTCAGTTAATATCACTAAAATTGTTAAAATGAAACTTCACTAGATCCTCATTTGCCATCTGGTCAGGTCAAATAATAATTGCTCTCATCAATTATATTACTTGTTCATTCAACATTACTTGTTCATTCCATATTTAGCATCACCTCTTATGTGCCAGGCCCTTTCCTAGAAGTTATGATTATAGTGGTGAACAAGACAATCTAGATTACTACTTTAATAGAGCTTGCAATATACAGAGAACCATAAACCAGCAAGAAAATAGTATCAGCTAGTGAGAGGAGAAAAACAATACAATAGTATGGTAGAATGACTGGATTAGGAAAGCTATTTTAGGTTTTATTTGTTCAGCAAGGAAAACCTCTTAAAACCAAAATCTGAATGGCAAGAAAGAGCCATTCATGTAAGGATATGCAAGAAAGAGGACCCAGGCAGAGAACAAGAGCAAAGTCCCTGAGACAGAGATTAGTTTTCTGTGTCTAAGAATAAAAGCATAAAGAGATGTTCTTCTTCCAAACACACAAGAATCAGAACCCATCCAAAAATAAATTAGAGCATTGACCAAAGCACAAGCGCATATGGTCCCCAGCTTTCTTCCTTCCCTACTCCAACTTCAAAAGGGGAGCTCATTTGGGGGCAAGAGGATAATTCCCATGTGATAATGAAGCATTTCCAAGTGATAATGAAGACTAAAGTATTGATTTATGCTACTATTAAATAAACCTTGAAAACATAGCAATAAGTGAAAGAAAAAAGTCCAAAAAAAAAAAAACACCTACTTATAGTATGATTCCATTTACATGAAATGTCCAGAACAGACAGATATCTAGACACAGAAAGTAGACTGGTAGTTGTGGAGGCTGGAAGGAGCAGGGAATGGGGAATAACTACTAATGGCTTTGAGACTTTGTTGGAGGATGATGAAAATAGAGAGTTAGAAAATAGTGACAGTAGCATAACTTTGTGAACATACTAAAATTCACTGAATTGTACACCTTAAAGGGTAAGTTTTATGGTATATGAATTACATTTGAAAATAAATGAATGAGCTTATACACATGTTTTTGCCTAGCGGTGGAATTACCGGGTTCATACAGTAACTCTAATACCTAACTTTCTGAGGAGCTGCCAGACTGTTTTTCCAAAGCGGTTATCCTATTTTACAGTCCTACTAGCAATGGGCGAGGTGTCTAATTTGTCTACATCCAAAGGTTCATTTTTGAGAGATTTCAGTATACAAATCTGCAACAAAGTCCGCAGGGAACAAAGGCAAAAAGTAAGTTTCCTGTCTTAGGAGCTTGTGTATGTGCTTGTTTACAGGTTTCAGAGAAAATCCATTGATGGCAGCTTTGGTTCTAATGATGGTAAGAAAAACCCCAGTTGCAATTCAAAATGATGCTGAGTAGTGCAGCAACATCGTATTTGATACTTCCGTGTTTCTGCTTTTTGTAATTTCCAAACCCTCTGCCTAGGTTGCTTTCCCACAGGATAGTCTAAAGTGAATCATTCTACAAAAATCATACTAGTGAGTACCAAGTTTTATACATGATAAATACTGAGATACTGAGTTCACACTAAGCTTTACTAGGCATGTCCCTTATAAATGTTCTCTAGGACATAAATTTGTCATACTTATAACAAAGCTGTTTTGTAACAATAGTAAGAATTTACTTTGTCAGCTCTGATACAGAGTTTTTTTATTTTTCCCACATTAAAATAGAGCCATTATTGTTCATATATTTAGAAAACTTAAATATTTTCAGACAAGTATAATAAAAAGTCACATAACTTTGTGGATCAAAGAGTAATTGATTATTCAACCATTGCTATATGCCCTTTCCTCCATTCTGATTATTTGAACACAGGAATTCAACTTTTTGGATCCTTTTATCAAAACTTTAAAAAATGCAAATGTTCTTATTTTTGAAAGCTTAAATCAGCATGAGTTATTCAGTTCTCATAAACTGGCATAGAGAGAAAATTTAGAAAAGACATGATGAGGTAAGACTAGATTTTTAGTCACATATGGCAGATGTTTAGCTGTGTGTTTTCTACACTTAAACAGAACCCAGGGAATCTTTGAAAGACACAAAACACCCCTACCCCCACCCAGCAGGACTATTTCTCCCTCTGCTGGAGGGCTCACTTTTCCTGCCTTCTTTGACTTTTGTCTTCCTTAATGTCAGCATGTCTATTTTTCCAGCCACCCAGGCAATTTGTTCTAATAAACATTCAGCTGCTAATATAATAAGACTGTAAAGAACACCTGCTCCAGTGTCCAACAATGCCAAGTGCTTCATTCCCTTTCATTTGCCTTCTCTCAAAATCTAGTCCTTTTTCCTCCAGACCATGCTCTTATTTTAGGCCTAGATGAACTTAGAAAGCCTGATTGTTTATAATCCATTGGTCTCCCTGAATAAATGACCTGTTATTTTTATTGCTGGAGTGAAATCATTATTACTATAAAAAGGAAAATAATTTCATATTCAATAAAGTGTCCTGAACAATTTAGAATCTAGGGGACTTGTGCCAGATCACTGGCCAAGAGCAGGAGGGCTCTGAAAAAATGTGAGCTTCGACTTCACATTATCAACAGGAAAGGGAAGGAAGAAAAGAAAGAAGAGGGGAGGAAAAGAGACGGAGAGGGAGGAGAAGAGGAGGGGGAAAAAAGTATTGCTTATGATTCATGTGGCTGCAAGTAACAAAAAACACATCTCAAACACACTTAAATGACAAATAGGCTCCTTTCCCCTAAAAGTTGAGCAGAAGGGTGGGTTTCAGACAGAGTGAAGCTGTCCATCCCCTGCAATCCCCGTGGCTCTGCTTTACTCCCAGTCTATAGATAGGTCAGGTTTATGTACTCATTTTTCAAAGTCCAGAGGGAAGATTTTTTTCAGAAGTACCCAGAAGTTTTTTCTCATGTTTCACTGACATTGAGTAAATCACACACATTATTAAACACGTCACTGCAAAGGAATACATCTACCTACAGGCCACTGAAGTCTACTTGTAGAATGAAGGTGCAGTAGTCATCTCTCTCTAATACCAAAGTTTACCAAATTCAGTATCATTGACCTTACAGGTCGGTTAATTCACAGTAGTTAGAATGGCTTATCCTATATTTTGAAGGAAGATTAAGAGTACCCTTCACTTCTACCTACTAGAATTCAGTTCATGCCCAAAAGACTAGACTCCAGAGACTGTCACATGTCCCTCGAAAGGTAAGACAGTCTTCTTAACTCCCCCAGCCCTACTGAGAACCACTGACTTAAATACATGGACTTCCAGGCTCAGGTAAGGTAACCCAAACAAAACTCAGCTTCATTATTAGAATGGCTAGAGAAATTCAGCTACCTGTGAGAAGCATTCCTCACAGGCCTCTGGGACCACATGAATAAAGGTATACATAAAAGATAACTTTTTGAAGAGAGAGAGCTTGACAAGCATGACAAGTTTATACATGTAAGAACCAAGTGGCCAAAGGAATCCTCTGGATGGGAATCTCTTTCACTGGATCATCTCTTGGCAAAGAGCAGAGTCCAGAAGAAATAAGACAGAATGTGCTGAATTTGGAGGAGACAGGGCACACCAACCAGATCAGGCTCAGTGACATGGATCTCAAAGTCTAGTTCTGACTCTCCTTTTCCCCAATTTTCTTGCCCAGTTTTTTTCTTTTACATGAATTTTTTTTATATCCTGCAAAGATTAATGGCTTTCTTTATTTTCTTCCCAACTTTTGAAATAAAACATAAGACTAGTTATAAAAGGATCAATTGGTATGAAAGTGAAATTGATCAGCTTGTTCATATCATTTCTAAATCCCTCTCCAGTTTCTAACCTCCACAGTCAATGAGACTGAAGGGGGTAAAAAACTATAAATATGAAGTCCCTGAAGGATGTCATTAACATCCTTCAACAAGATGAAATTAAAATTTTCAGAAAAAGCAAGCATGAAAGCATATTCTATTCTATTTTAGTAGACAGATGGCAAAGAATTTTTTCTCAGAGAAAAACATACTGAATTCCTCAGTAAAATGAAATAATTTACAAACCTGATATATTTGCTTACTCATAGTTAGAACATGTTGGTATGTTACACAAATTAATATTTTGTGTTTAATTCTGATTTCTAAATACCACACAGTTGAATATAAATATAGCTCACCTCTGAAATCATCGATCTCATTAAAAACTTTGGAGAAAATCCTGTGGTTTTGCATGCTAAGCAGTCTTCCACCTAAGGAAAAGTAAGAGAACAGTTATTCCATGTTGGCAAGTCCCATATTTAACCTGTGCATATAAAAGTGCAGAGTGAAAACATTTTTACATGCTGACAGTTGTATTGCTCATGACATTGCTGATGTTCTCACCCATAACCAGTGGCACTGCAGGCGTCTCTAAGTGAACAGGGTCAGCAACTACATTAAGACCAGACTCTGCTCAGTCATGAACCAGACAGAGCTCAGCAACCAGTGGGACCAGTCAAATCTGAAAAGACCGATACAGCTGGCTTTTCCTAATTTTGAATGAGTTTGCTGCTAACAAAACAGTGATTGTTTTTGATTGTCCTGCTCAGATTTACGTTTTTGTTTTTTCTTTTGACTTCACACACATAAAAATATTGGTTCCCAAGTGATTTTACCTTCTGCCACAACTGAACTCAAAGCATTTTGCTATGTACACTTCTGCTTCCTTTTATCAAAGGCCTTTTGTTAACACCAAAATATCAGAAATTCTGGTTTTTATGATTTCAGTGTCATTCTTCATTTTTAACTTGCACATCATTATTTTTAAAAACTGCATCTTGAGCAAGGGACATAGGTTGATGGTTAGAATGATGGAATTTAAGCTTGAAAGGAGAAAAACATGAAAGACATGGAAATATAAAAGACTATATTGGGGACGAAGCCAATACCGTGGTTTCCAGGAGACTCCCCTCCACAAACTAGAGAGAAGATATTAACGTTACCCCACGCTAATAAGGAACCATTGGAAAACAAGCAGTAGCCCACTTAAAAGGCAAAGGTTGTGCTTTATACTTCTGTAAAATGTGTTTATTATAGTGGAGATGCAAATAAACCTCAGCTGCCTAGTCTCTTTTGCAAGATATTGTCGAGTACTACAGGAAAGTGAGTAACTCACCCACTGCCAGTTATTCATACTTTGAAGGGAAATCCCTGTATTCCTTTCGATTATGAAGATAAATTTTAACTGAAACCAATACAATGAACCACTATTCATCCACTATCTGAGTGACTCTGGGCAAATTATTTGATCTCTCAGCACTTCTCTTTTGTCCTTTAAAATTGGTGATAATAGTACACACCTCTTAGTACTGTTGAAAAATTAGAAGAGTAAACTCTTATAAAGAATTTAAAAGATGATCTGACCCAGTAAGTTTTCATTTAGTTTTAGTCCGCAGTGGTAGCATTAGTAGCAGTAAGGATAGCAACAGTAGTAATAGCAGCAGCACTAGTGGTAATGGTGGTTAACAGTTGTTACAGTAAATAATAATAGTACAAGAAGCAGCAAAGCCTTATGCCATAACTACGTTAAGTCTGTCCTATGATTTGATTAATTCTCATGAATTACTGTGCTCAATATATTTAATCCCTCCTATATAAGAATCTGAATGAAAAGCTTTGAGGCTGAATGAACATCACTGATATTTAAATATTTACATATTTATTGGTAAGCCCAAGAAAGGCCAGGGAACTTCCACTTTCTCTAAATAGCAGCAAATATAACAAGGGATCTCCATGCCTAGCGTCACCAAGGGATCTTCATTCTGGAGAACATGGTTCTGATTATGGGGTACCTGAAAGCAGCCTTGCCTACTAGGAATGCTGTGTTACAAAAAAACCTTTGGTTTTCCACCTGAGCTAACTCTTGGCTATGGTACACTGAAAGAAATTAAGACTGAAAGGTCACTGAATTCTCTCTTGTTTAAATGTTTGAACTTTCAAAATTTTAATACTCTTCTTCATGAAGTAAATGAATAGGAAATCAAAGAGTAAAAAATATATGAAGCCTCCAAAGTTGTCATGCAAATTGATTAATATTTTTAGTGCACACCAATGGAAATCAGAGAGCCAGGTAAAGAAAGCTGACTTGATAAACCATGAACTGTTTGGGAAGGGGGATGGTTCTTTTTCATGTATTATGCACTATAGCATTAATGTAAACTCTAATGAACTTTTCAGTGAAGAACTGGAAATGTGCTTGCATGAGGATTCTATAACATAAAATATCCTCAGTTATGGGTCTTCACTGAAAATATTTCCCGGCATTAATATGAGAATGATCAGTTAACTCGGACTTTGTAGTGTGAAACAAGCAGCCTAATCTCTCAAAAAGGCCATATTTTATCAAAATTCCCAACAGCCCTAGAACACCCCAAGCCTCTGACAAAGTTCAGGAGGCAGCAAAGAAACACTCTCCTGCATCTGCACAGATGAGTGTGGGTCCTGGAAATATTGTATTGTGGCCCTAAAGTCAAAGAAACTTCTTAGATACCACTGCTTATTGGTGGTTTCTGTTCTCTTTGCTCATTTCCACAAATTCTCAGCCATGGGCAAAATCAACTGGCAGTGACACTGTTGTCAATGTGGCATTAACAAATGCACAGAGAATACAGGGAGATACTGGTCTGTGATGTTCATGGTGGCGTGGCTCCAGATGACCCCAAGACCAAGAGGAATAAGACAGTGTCCTTGATATGAGAGGGACTTTATTGGAAGTTTGAGGAGCATTGTCCTAGAAGCTATTTTCTCTCACTGCCAACAGCGAATTGGCAACAGAAACATCTCTTCTACCTCGTAAATAGACCTCAAAATATCTCCTATTTCTCCCATCCTTGTTGACATCACTTATTGCTCCCAGGAGTGCAATAATTACTTTCCTGCCTGGGTTTGTCCTGCTGGTAGGCACTGCTAAACACAACAAGTAAACTTCTAAATATCAGTGCTTTAATTGTGGATGTCTATTTCTGGCAGTACTGTCAAGCAGGAATCCACCATTTCTCTCTCTATCAAATAGTAAATGATTTGGGCTGTGGACTATCTAGTCTCTATTGCAACTGCTCAACTACTCTTTGCACTGGAGTCGAAAGCAGCTCCAGTCATACCCAATGAGTGTCTGTTTCATCAGAATTTGAACTACTAACAGAACTACTAAAATGTGAACTTCATATAATTTTCACCATGTTATAAAATATTCTTTTTCTTTCGTTCTTTTTCGTCAGCCATTTAAAAACTATTCTTATGAGTTCAAGAGCTAAAAAGATGGCAGGCTAGATTTGCTCTATAGAACAGTTTGGTGACTCCTATAAGACAGCAAAAAGAAGATCAAATTTAAAATATTGTTACCTGATTACTTGAACTACCCAGAGTTGTGATCTTTGTTCTAGTAACTGAACATAAAGCTTCTGCCTTTACTTTTCTTTTTAACAGGCTCTGGAAATATGGTGGTGTCACATCCCATTGCTGCCAGTACCCCTGAAGGAAGCAATTATGGGGCAATAGGTATTTTCTACAATGAAACTATATTTGAAAGAGTTTCTTAATTCTCCAGAGAATAGGATATAAAAGCCACTAATAACTGTGAGAAGCCGCAAGGCAGTAATTACCTAAGATTGCATTTTATTTATAAGGTAAATTGGTTGGACGATGTGGAAGGTTCCTTCCATCTCTAACTTTCTCCAGTTCTATTATTCTACTTCTTGGATCTACTCGCACACCTGAACAGAGTTCCCTGCAATGGCTGCCATCAAGTCCCAAGACCTTCACAGGCATTTTTCTTATTTCCAGCCTAAGTTTAGGGCATGAAAGATGTGTTAGAATTGGACATCGACTGACCAGCTGTTTGATTCTCAGGTTTCAGTGACTGAGGGTGACCCGAAGACTAAGTCTGTGCTGCAAGTAGACACTGTTATAGCCTAACAACCTTTCATTCTGGCTAAATTCACAACCCAACCTGCTCAGTAACCCAATCACCTGGCAGCCCTGGTGTTTATGATGTGGCCAGAAAGGAACAGAATTCTTGTCTCATTAGAGCAGAATGCCTTGATGCCTCTGTGTATCTGTATGATGTTTGTGGGCCTGCAAATGGTGCCCTTAAAATGCTGGTGTAGAGCAACTGGGAATCTTGTATTCCTGCCCTATTGTTCTGTAACTTTAAGGAGCATGTGGGCTCAGTGCAAGCTACTTATTTCTGGCTCTGCGAGAACAGGGCTTTTTTTTTTTTTTTTTTGTTAAACCATCTGAATAGAAGAAATAAAGCGGAAGGTAGGCTCAGCTCATGTGCTCATCAAGCTGAACAAATTCCCATCTGCTCTAGGAAAAATTCACAGGAACACAAGGATTCTTCCTGAGAATGTTATTTTCATTATGTAATCATAGATACAGCATGTGGGAGATTTCTGTGTATAAATACTTAATCCATAAAAAAGTATATGCTTACACAGACATGTGGTAGATGCTACGTGCATATGTATATTTATGTATTTATGTTCATATTTTAAAATATGACACATGGAATACAGGAATTATCTAATTTTTGTACCAAATAGTTAACAGAGCAGGTGCCTTTATATTCTTTAGAGGTATTCAGCCTTAGAAATACATTATTTCAATATAAAAATAGGAGAAAAGGAGAATTAAAACCTACTGAGAGAGACTGAGAGGAAGACCGTGTCCTGTGGGGAGGAGTTCTTACCAACACAGCATTTTCAAGTATGAATCAGCTCTGTGAAGTTTACAGAGTGGGATGGGCTCCCTGAGTTCTTCCTGGCTTTTGAAGGGAGACAGTTTTCTATTTCAGATGAATCAAGCTCCAGTCCTGGGAGGCAGATGTCCTCCTCTGATGGTGGGCATGGAGGCCAGTCGGACACAGACAGCTCCGTGGAGGAGAGTGATTTTGACACCATGCCAGATATTGAGAGTGATAAAAACATCATCCGGACCAAGGTACCTCTGCCTGCCCATATTCTTCTGGATGGTAGCCACATTAAGTTCAGCAAGGCTTCAGTTTCCTTCCACAGGACTTTTAGATAAAACATAGCAACAGGCTAAAAGCAATCCTCTGTTAATTAGCACTTCTTTCTGGATGAAGAAAGTGAGGGCATTAAAGAGAAGGGAGCATGAAACACTCTCAGGGTCCTAAATGCCTGACCGTGGACAACAGGAGAAAGGGATGCACCAGATGGAAGAAAAGCTTCACATGAGGTTATATCTGGGGAAACTAACTGGCTCTGTATGTATCATCCTTCAAGAGTAAAGGCTATTTCCTTCTGGCAGATACTTGTTATAGGTGTTATATATAGTGAGGGACATATAGATGGCCTCAAAGTCTGAACCCTGTACTTCAAGAACCACATAATACACACACCTGAAAATGGGGAAATGTTCATTTCTGAGTTACAAGAAAATTCCTTGAAGCTTCCCACATTAGTCAGTCTTTAACATCCCAAGGGAAACACACTGGGACTCTTAACGAGGCATTCTAGCAAAAGCAAATTAAAAGAAAAACCTTGTTAAATAATTTTAATCCCTAGTGAGAGATTAACTTGAAATTTGTAAAGTTCTCCTTTGCGCTCTCTCTCTTTTTTTCATCCTAGATATTCCTCTACCTGTCAGATCTGTCCAGAAAGGACCGGAGAATTGTGAGCAAAAAATATAAGATTTATTTTTGGTGAGTCAGTGACCAGCAGGACCACGGTTCTTTTAAGTAATAAAATGAGCTTTCTTTGTAAAAGCCACAATCACTTTGTCACAGGTTTCAACGTCTAATGAGCACAGATATAGGTGTTTAAAGGAACCATGTCACTAGAAAACTGGCCTTAAATTATATAAATACAGGGCTCTTCCTGGTGGTGCGGCAGGTTAAAGCACACATTATGAAGCTCACCAAAGCCACTGCAGCACGAGTTTGATTCCTGGCCAGGGAGCTCACCCACATGGCGCAGCAGACCTCTCCTGACCCGCCCACTGCTCCCCTCAGCAGTGTACTGTCAGTTGGCCTGTTCTGCTCCCCACTCTGTCTCTGGTGAATCCTCTCACCACCCCTGCACTTCTGACCTGTGCCCCAGTTCTATATGTATAAATAAATAACTTTTTTTTTAATTATATAAAGTAAAAATTTCAACCTTTAGGGAACACAGTAATTCTTCCAGAAAGATAACACTAATGTGTGCACACTAAACTGCAGCCATTTACTGTGCTCCACACCAGGTCTCATTCTTGGAAAAAGCCCAATGATTCAGGGCCTAGTGGTCTAGAGTGGAAAACACCCTGAGAGAAGATGTACCCCTAGCCAGAGACCGGAGATACAAAGGTCAAATGTACAGGGGCAGCCTCTTCCCCAGGACTTGTCCCTCAGACATGCTGACACCTTTGACAATTCTTCCCATCCCTTTCTCTTCAAGGTTGCCCTAGTATTAGGTGACTGCTAGTAGAGAGAAGCGAGGGACAATGGTGGCCTCAGGGAATCTCATATTGGGACCATCTTTGGGGAGTAAGATGTAACTAATCTAAGGGAGCCACATCCTCTTCAGGGGATCCAGCCCTTGTTGCTTACATTCTGGTGTCAATTTAACAACATCCTAAAGAGATAGGCACTCAATAATAATTTGTTTAACCGGAAGGAAGTATTAGCTGCACTGTTTTGCCAGTGATTGTACCAATGTAAGACTGGGGCTTCTAACTATTTTTGTGAGTTAACTAGGAAGTTATCAGGTGAGAGAACTCTTGTGGGGAAAATAAATGAACAGAGTCCCACTGTTAATTTAGAAATAATTTTTTCTGGTTCTCTCTGCCTGCTTAGGAACATCATCACCATTGCTGTGTTTTATGCACTGCCTGTGATTCAGCTGGTTGTCACCTACCAGACAGTAAGTGCCTCCCCCATCCCGAGAAGCCTAGCTGTCACTCTGCAGGGGAGAATATTTGCTGTGTCTTACAGAGGAGGGTATAATTTGGGATGAATCCAAGTATCTTGCCATTTCATTCCCTGCTGGACATCTCCATTGCTTCATCTTTGACTGACCTTTAAATCTACTTCCCAGTTGCTTTATCACAGAGAGACCTGGGACCTCTAATCTGAAGTCATTATTTTTACTCATTTAGTCATCATATCTATCAACTGCATCAGCTATTTACCAATCTGAGCTTCTAATCACCACAGGATAATGAATTTTTAAAGAGCCTTCAGACCAAAACAAACAAATGAAATGTTTAATTTAGCCAGTACTCGCACTGAGGGTATTTTTTTTTTAAGTAAAAAGAGCTTTACAAAACAAATTAAATATTAAGAAAATATAAAACAAAGAAAAAACAGTAATTAAAACAATCTGAAAAATCCCCACTCTTCCTAGACATTGAGGGTCCAAGAAATGACCTTTCCTAGGATTTATTTAATATGAGAAAGCCATCTCAGAATAACATAGGACCATAGGTTCTCAAACTTTGTATGCATTAAAACTACCTGGAGAACTTTAAAACCCCAGTGTCCAAGCTGTACCCTACATAAATTGGGCAGAGTCTGAGAGTAAAAGCAGGCTTCAGTATTGACTAAACTCATTGTTATTCCAATTCTCAGGCAACTTTGAGTCAGTGGCCTCATAATATTTAGCCAACCTCATACATATGTGACGATTTCATGAGGTTTGAGCCCCACTCTTTATAATCTGAATATTCTCTGAGTACATCTCTGCCAAAAGACATACCTGTGTTGTAGTCTGGCAAGGTTCTAATGTCAGAAATGGAGATAAATATGGAAAACTGACACATCTCCTCCCACCTGCCTATCCTGTGGTTATCCTGTTCACCCAGCTCCAGGCCCTCCCAACAATCATCTAGAAAACAGGACATATCACAAGAGTCCTAATAGGAAAGTGTCAATGCTGGCATCCTTTCATACCTCCTTAATAATGAGAATAAAGAAAATGTACTGCATTGAATTCCACTTTGAGGTCACATAATGAGAGACATAGATTATTTCAATTCAAAGCAAGATGGTAGCATTTAAAGGTCATGTGCTGATGATGTGCAAAGCACAGCTAATGGGCAGATAATGACCCAGCCCTTGCTGAGAAGGTGCCCTGGTTACACTGTCAATTGCTGACAGTATGTTGCTGTGAGCTGTGTCCGGTATTTATGACTTCAGACTAGGTTCAGATGACAAAGAAAAAATCCATCTCCTCTTCTTGCTCTCAATTTTACAGGTAGTAAATGTCACTGGCAACCAGGACATCTGCTATTACAACTTCCTCTGTGCTCACCCCTTGGGGGTCCTGAGGTAAGTTCAGTTTTCTGGTTGCTCATGTGGCATTTAGCAATGCCTTAGTGCATAACGTTTAATTTCAGTTTTTAAAGATACTAAAAACAACTGTGGGAGATGACCCCAGTCAAGAGTAAAAAGGAATGATTTCAAGAAGTTGAGACCAGGTATGTTTCTCTTGCTTCTATGTGTGGGGCCTCTGGAAACATTCCTAAGAATAATTTGCTGAGGAGAGGGCAGGAATGTTTTGTAAAATATCAGGTCCCAACTGTGACAACACTTGCCCATGGTCATGAGCTGTTCATACAGCCAATCCACTATACAACCTCATGCGGTGAATATATTCATGCTAACCCCTTTTTTAGAGGAACACACTAAGGCTTGGAAGTTTAAGGACTTGCCTATTAATGAGCGTGGCTCTGCACCCCAGGCCTGCTGCCTCCTAGGCCATGCTGCAGCCACGGGAACAGAAGTGCACAGAGCACAATGGTGAAGTGCACAGAGCATTTACCTGGCTGCTGAGAATCTGGCTTCTTTTCCAGAACCGAACCAGCCTTTGTTTCCTGAAATAAAGCGCCTTGGTTAGGTCCAGCTGACATTTATCCTGAAATTCAGTCACACCACTAAATACTAATACAAAGCATGGGTCTGTCGGCATCCACAGTGGCAGTGTAGCTGAAACACTTTCCCCTCCCTGGCACAACTCACTCTCCTGGCATGGCAGTGCCGTTGGGATGAGAGAGGCCGAGGTGAGTGTTAGGGAAGCAGAGCAGGCACCTGGAGAGGAAATGGAACAGGCTAAGCATCCTGAAGTGAAGTGATTAAGCTAGAGAGGATTTCTGATGATAGGCTGTTCCTGACAGCTTATGAAAAGGTTATGGGCGCTAAACACGGATGCTGAACTCATTCACTATTGAAAGGCATTTATTGACTCTTGTGGCTTCTCGCTGGTTCTTTAGTGCCTTCAACAACATCCTCAGTAACTTGGGCCATGTGCTTCTGGGCTTCCTTTTCCTGCTCATAGTCTTACGCCGGGACATTCTCCATCGAAGAGCCTTGGAAGCCAAAGACATCTTTGCCATGGTGAGAAGAGTGTGGGTAAATTGGAGGTGGACGCTTCAGAAGGATTATGGTTCCAGAGAGGATCCATGGGGAGGGACGACATCAGGTTTGAGAGTGCGACAACAGATTGTGTGTAATGAGCCACAGGAGACCAGAAGCCTGGGTTTCCAGATTCTGTGGCTATGTCACTGATTGGTATCTTTCTACTGACGATGCTTTCTCCTTTTTCAGGAGTATGGGATTCCCAAACACTTTGGTCTCTTCTATGCTATGGGCATTGCATTGATGATGGAAGGTGTGCTCAGTGCCTGTTATCATGTCTGCCCTAATTACTCCAACTTCCAATTTGGTAATTAAAATTTACAGCAGTTACACAGACTTGAGTTAGAGTCTTACACTAGGACCCATTCCAAAATACTAAAACAGTGTCTGGAAAAACTAAATGACATGTTATGTGAGCTGAAGTTGTTAGGGGGAGAGGGTGTCCTGAGGGAACTCTGCAGAGTTTTCTGGACTCCACCCCTTACTCCAGTCACTGAAACTACAACTCCCAGCAACACTAAGGGGAGAACTGTGAGGACCCAAGGGCAGAGCTAAGCAGGCATTCTGGGACTTTTGGGAATACATAAGGGAGCCATGTTAGATGCTCTCTCTCTGGACCATGTGGCTGGTGCTTGGCTCTTGATGAGCTATCAGTGTGTTATTGGAGTTCCAAGTCAGCAGAGCTGGTAGGATGTTGTAGTTAACTTGTATCTCTCTCTTTCTTTCTCTCTCTTTCCCTGGGTTGTACCATTTCCTTTCCCCTTTGTAAATACCCCCATTATTGGCCCTTTGTGTGTGCCTGCAGTACAATGGAATTTTAAGCATGTAGGTGAGGACCCACAGACAGGCAGCCCAGTTCACAGTGGATTGATGTGTAACAAAGTGATCTGATGGCACCTCACCACCCATCATGGTTTCTTCGTGTTGTACATTTATTGTCCTTGATCACCTTTTGAATCAGAAGACACTCAGACATTGAATGTGGACCGTATGGTGAGACCTGAAGGTGTCAGATTAGGCAGCAAGCCAGACAGAATCCACCAATAGATATTTGGAAAGATCCCACCATATAACGGGGCCTGATGTAGCAGTTAAACTGCTTTGGGATACAAGTACTAGAAAATTCACTTCAAATTGGCTTAAATAATAAGAACATTTATCAGCCGGCTGATTGAGCAGACAGAGGAGGAAAGTGGCTGGTTATCTGGTCACAGTGGCTCTGTGATCCCGTTGTTTGTGCTCAGCCTGTATTTTGATTTAATCCTCAGGCTATCATCCTTCATGTGGCAAAAATAACTGTAGCAGGTATTAGTTTCCTATCTCCACCCCATGATGAGGCAGCAAACTGGGTTGCAGGTGGCTTCATGGAGAAGCAAGGACATTTCTGTTATAAACCACCCGCACCCCCCAAGTACGACCCTCCCATACCATAATAGCTTAAACAGTGATGAGCCCACCCCGGAGTGCTTTCCTAAGTGAGGGTTAAGTCAGGCCTAAGTTACTATGCCAACTATAGTGGCAAAGAGGTGGGAGTATCTTTAGACCCATGAGATCCATTATTGAGACAGGGGCAGAGTTCGCTTTCCTGAAGCAAACAGGCTAGACAAGAGTTCCTTTCTGAATTGAAAATGGAACTAAGATATTTTCTTTGTATTGCTGTTAGGGAGGAAGGGAATTGCTGAGATTTATAGTAAGCAATTAAAAATGTCCTCCACTCTCAAGGATAAAGATTTTTAAAATAAGTCATTTTTATGTTTGTGCTCTGGCCTAACTCTGACCACAGAAATTCTTTCACATTTTACATTTTTTTAATTAGAAAATATTTCAATATAGAAAATTATAGCGAACAAAGACATTTACCAATCAGAATAAAGAAATACCAATATTGAAAAATATTTGCCTTAAATGTAAACAGAATGAAGGTTTCTTAAAATATTAAAGGTGGATCTACCATGTGACCCAGCAATCTCACACCTAGGTGTCCACCCAAAGAATGCAAAAACACTAACTGGAAGGGATATACACAGCCCTGTGTTCATTGCAGCACTACTAACATTAGCCATGCAATGGGCAGAAGAGAGAATTAGGAAGACGGACAGATGAGTAAATCAGGAAGATATATACACTGGAATACTACTCAGCTATTAAGAAAGATTAACTCCTACCATTGTGCTAAACAAAATAAGTCAGAGGAGAAAGACAAACTCTGGATGGTGTCACTTTTTGTGAAATATAGAGGAACAAAGCCAAATCAGTAACAAACCCGGGATATCTGCCTACAGATCTGAGGGTACCAAACAGGGAGGGGAGTGGAAAAGAACACAGGGAGTCAAAGGACTGTGGTGGCGCACTGTGAGTGTCTTCGTGGTGGCTGTGGTATGGTCACAACACTGGAAAGGGCTAGCCTGTATCTCTGAGTCATATACAATGATGTAAACCAGTGTTCTCCCAATTACAAATTAGTAGTAGTTCCTTTAAAATTCTTGTTAAGAAATAAAACATAGTGTAAGTGTGAGGTCCTGTTTTGCTTTTGTATTTTAATTACATTACTTCTTATTGAGGTAGCAGTGGTTTACAACACTGCGTATGAATTAGGGGTACAGGTTCATACCGCTTCAGATATCTGATACCCCCCATACCCACCACCAAAGCACCATCGTTCTCCAGCCCATGGGGCCTCTACCTCATTTGTTCCCCATCCCCAACCCATCAGCCCTGGAAGTGAAGTCTCATTTCGAACTGCTTTCCAAATTTATTCCCCTCTCTCCTTTCCTACAGCTATGATTAATTTGATATTTATCTTTCCCAATTGCATTTATGGCTTTACTACATCTGTAGTAAACAAATATTAATTTATCACAGTGTTCTATAACCTTTCAACCATGAATAACATCTTTTACAGATGTAGCAACCATTTTCTATCCCTAGATTATAAAGCTCTATGAGCAGTAGTCAATGTGGTTATATCTCAGGATGCTGAGAAGACCCTCCTATACCTACCTAGGATTATATTTATTGTCATACCACCTTAAATGTCATCACTATGGATTCTTTCATTATGCCTTTTGAATACCAACATTTAAATGCAAATCCCCCTGCAGTTATTTACTGTAGCATCAGATGGTTTTCTTCTGTGGTGAGGAACAGCCTTGGCAGGGTTTAGAACTGGAGTAGGAGGGACCTGCCTAGAGAACGTACCTGGGAAGGGGAGCAGACTGGAGGTCTTCATAATCTGGGGGCAGTAAATAATCCATGGCCTGAAGGGCGGGGCTTACTGAGGCTGGAGAGAATCTGTGTGGGAGCTGTTGGGTCCTGATGCCACACTCCTCCTTGTGCCCTCAGACACCTCCTTCATGTACATCATCGCCGGGCTCTGCATGCTGAAGCTTTACCAGACCCGCCACCCAGACATCAACGCCAGCGCCTACGCCGCCTACGCGTCCTTCGCGGTGGTCATCACGCTCACCGTCCTTGGAGTGGTGCGTCCTTCCCCAGCCTCCAGCCCTGCTTTCCAATGCGCCTTCTTGGGAGGTTTTATGTTATTTGTTTTTTGGACATCAAATGAACAGGTTAATCGATAGTTCTTGACATACTCTCAAAATAGGTCCATCATCGCATTTTATTTATGAAGTAATTATTTTTAGTAGTGGAATAGGTACCAATAAAAACATCCTGGAACTTTTTAATCTAAGGGATGAGACATATGTGAGACTGGACTAGAAATGCACAAGCTGATTATAGCAACTGACTTAAAAAAAAAAAAAAAAGCAGAAACCTCTTTCCAACTCCAGTGTAAGTTGTCTTCAGTTCTTGGAAGAGCATTATAAACCAACCCTCCTCCCCATCCCTTCATCCCTTCATCATTATTGGTTGGCTGCCTCATTCATTTCTTTCCATTTCCATTTCCATTTAGTGGTGCAGCCTTCTTTTTCTAGCTCTGAGTGCAGTAAGATCCCGGAGTACTCAGACGAGGGGACCAAAACAAAAAGCAGACCAAAATATAGTCAGGTTTCTGACTCCTGCATAAACGAGAAGCACAACACTTTTAGTAAGTTCTCTGGGGGAAATCACAGATGAAGGTAACTTCCATATTTCATCTAGGTTTTTGGCAAAAATGACGTGTGGTTCTGGGTCATCTTCTCTGCAATCCATATCCTGGGCTCTCTGGCTCTCAGCACCCAGATCTACTACATGGGCCGTTTCAAGATAGGTGAGTGACTTGCTACTTGTTACTAAACACACTGATGAATTCACCCTGAGAAAGGAAAGCCTTGTCTTCACTTATTCTAAATGGAAGTGTTACTGGTCATCATAAACACACATTTTGAACTATGCATGTGTTTGACTGCATATATTCTCCCCAAGACCTTCCTCTCTCTCAGGATTCTCTTATCTCCAAATATGTTTCCAACCACTTAGCATATTAAGCTTGCCATACCTCAGAGCTGAAGCAACTCCGAGGCCCCAACCCTCTGCAATCCCCTAAACTTCGAAAATCCATCTGCAGAATGATATGGAGAAATAGTTTTGGTTTCTAGCATTGAAAAGGAACATTTCTCTAGCCATGTTAAATGGTCATCAAGAATGACTAGTACATTATTTTCAAATTCTAGGAATTCTTCTGAGGCCAACTTATCAATCTTGGAGGCAGGACACTTGGTAGTCAGTTGTTAATATGGGCGCAAGTTTAGTCCACTTTAGAGCATTTAAATTTTACCAGTTATTTACCACGCCCAGGAAATCAGATTTATGTATTGTTTTGTATTGCCTAAGAAAAATCACTACACAGGAAATCCTCACTTAACAGCATCAGTAGATTTAGATACTGCAACTTTAAGAGAAACAATGAAAAAGACAACAAAACCAAACCACAGGCTGATATAAACAAACGCTAAGTCTTGTACAGCATATTTCTGGTCACAAAAAAAAACATAGCCGAACTGCTAAATAAGGACCCCAAACACGTCTAACATTAAACAACAAATTGTATTTGCATTTTTCAAGCTGCTTATCCTAGTTCTGGGCAGAGAATGACTGGAACCTAGGAGCCCAACTGGGTAGTTTGGGGTGCAAAGTGGAAGCCAATCCCTGGGATTGCACTGCAGTCACTCCTAGAACAGTTTGGACACACCACTGAACCAAATCTGCCTATCTGTGGGATATGGGAGGAAACTTGGGAAAACCCATACAGATAGAAGCATGCAAACGCTTATGCAAACAGTGTTCCCTGTCAGGAATCCATTTTTTTCCTCATCAACTTTATAATGAAATGACTAAAGCTGAATGAAACATAGTCACGAAAGGGCTTGCTGTGTATATACAAAGGCTCTCTTCTTTGGCTTTTGCAGAGCCAAAAGCATGACCCAAATAAAAAACTGCAGACCCTATGCATCAAATTTAACATTTTAAAGCAGACAAAAGACTACTATGGGAGCGGAAGGAAGGACGGGAAACGACCAGCAAACATAAATTAATATGCCCTCATTACAACCCAGAAGGTCTCGGTTCAAATGTCTCGTCCCTCAGAACTTTCCAGAACACTGCTGTACCTGGGGACGCTGGTCCAGGCCCGCCCCTCCTCTCTCCCGTGCTCCGTCCACCTAGGTGTTGGGACTGCCAGTTCTCACCGCGAGCACCCCCGACCCTTGCACGACTTCTGGGTGGTTTCGCCGTAAGCAGTTTCGTCACAAGTGTTTTCCCCACAAATATTTGCACCTAAAAACATTTTCGCCACATAAATAATAGGCCATCGGGCAACTTTGCTACAAAAGAGAATAAAATGAAAATAAAAGCAATTCGTTCAAAAGGACACGATGAAACATGATTTTTTTCCATGTGTGCGTGAAGTCAGAGCAACACGGCACGAAGAACTTTCTTCTGCGGCTTGTACCTAAAATACTTGTCTTCTCAGTCTTTTGCTTGTTCATGGTATTCCATACTTTTTGCATTTTTTAGTCATCCAACTTACTGGAAAATGTGGAATCAACGGGTGGCAAGTCAGATCGCATACTACTTTGAAAACAAACTAAAAGCTAACTTAAATACGGTAAATAAAGTTGGTGAAGGCAGCAGATAGGTTCAGCGGTGAAGAAACGAAAACAAACCGTGAAGATTAACATAACCAGCCTGCCTCCAAATCACCCCTGTGGAAACATCATTAGTCAGTGGTGCAGAAGGTTTAGTAGGACATTCTGTTCGTGCCCCATCCTCCAGACTCAACAAAGAATCGAGTCACACAAACTAAACTTTCAAAAGGAAAGTGATTTGGAATAATATTGCTCTGAGTTCTTCCAGAGTTAAAAAAAAAAAAAAAATCAACCTGAATACAGATACATGTAATGCCAGCAACCACTAATAAATAGAAGAACTTTTAATATATTTAAATCAGCTTTGCTTCAATTTTGCAATACTGAATTCATTTGCCTTTTTTTAAAAAAGAGAAGTTTGTATTATGTTATCACCTTGTAACAGTTTACCAGGGGTCCCATCAAGAAAAAAAAAGCCCCACAACAAAGTAAGCAGGAATTATTTACGCAAGGATTATGCATAAATCATGGGAGGGCAGAGAAGAATGAAATGTGACACTTGGGGCTTGAAGCATAGAAGCATTTGCTATCCATATGAACAGGACAGGAAGTGGCTACCAAAACATGGGAAGAGAGTATAGAGAGGAAGTCCCTGGGAAAGGAGCAGTGACCTTTGCTTGTCAAGCATGCCAGGGGCCAGCGGGAGCAACCTCACAGATTGGGCACTAGGCAGATAAAACACTGAGTCCTCTCTACTTACGCTTTCCCTCCATCTCCTGGTAGGGATTCCTGTTGTCCAAATCCACGGGCACTGAGGAAATCCATAGATTACTTCCATATAGTCATACCTGGCCCTGGCTGGGCCAGACAGGGGAGGGGGAAAGTGAAGATAGTTCAGCTGAATATATTCAGTTTCTGTGCACAAGGAGACATCTCCAAGACTGGTGCTTCCCAATCTGGTAAAGATTTTTTTTCTTTATAATATAATAGTTTATTTTTACATCATTTTGTACATTTGCTTTTTTATCATCTCAATTGTAATCCCTGTGGGTTTCCCATCACCAAGTCACCCATGTACCATCACCATAGTCCCGTGCACTTCCCTCACCCCCACCCCCATTTTTGATCCCATTCCCCATTCCTCTCCCACAAAATGTCTCTGGTATATGGCTGTTCATTATTCTTATTATTTTCTTGCCTGGTCCACTATACTCCTGCGAAACCATCCAGTATTTTTTTTTTTCTTTCTGGCTTATTTCACTAAGCATGATCTTTTCCCAATCTGGTAAAGATTTTTAAGAGTCAAAAGTGAAATTGTTATGCAGGAAGCTGGATTAGAACTGTTTCTGGAGACATACCCCTGGCCCTTTCTCAACTCACATACCTCTTTCTCTGTGACTCCCAGACTATACCTGGAAATAAACACAGAAAGGGAAGGCAGAATGCTTCATAAGAAGAACAGGAAAACATGGAGCTAGTTGCTGAGGTCACAACTCTGTCCCTTGCTACCAGAATCACCCAGGTGGACATTAAGTTGGAAGTGGTACACAAAAGTAGCCAGGGGATGAGCGGGGAAGTATGATTCACTCTTAGGAAAAATAGCCTTCTAGATGTTTGAGGCAGGCAGAAATTTTCGTGTTCTTTGTGATGAACAGACAGGACTTTTATAATTTGAAAAAAAATAAGACATTTGTTTTGAGAAAAACTTTAATGGCCACAGTTTACCTGTATGATTACTTTCTTACAATATTTTTTCTTATTTCTCCTCTGCTTCCCACTGATTCAGATGTGTCTGACACAGGTAAAGTTCAGTCACCCTTCCCAGGGTTCCAGATTGTTTTCGTAGCCAAGTGCCTGTCTATTCCAGCTCTGCTCCATGCTCACACACCCTTGCAGTTGGGCAGGCTCAGTGAGGGGCGGGGAAGCCAGAGGCCCAAAGGCAGGATGGCCTACAGCCCAGCCAGCACTGTATCCTTCTCAGTGATTGCCTGGACAGCGCCTCCATTTAGTCCAGTGAATGCTGTTGAGTTGACCCCAGAGGGAAGCTCTAACGAACATTCAATACAAAGCTGGGTCCACCGCCGAAATGCTTGCTTTGGGCAGACCCAGCCTGTGTGTAATGGGCTCACGACCAGTCCCACCTGAGAGCCTGAGCCTTCATCTAGGTATGACACAGGGGCGTGGGCTGTGTTATACCATCCTTTCTCATTTTCCTTTTAGAAAGCTATTTTTTATTGAAGTAGCATTGCATTCTAACATGAAATAAGCTTCAGGTATATATCATTAGGAGTCAACATTTGCATGTACTACCTTAAATTCACCACTAAAAATCCACCTACCATCCTTTTGAAGGATTGCATTTTTCTTAATCTTTCCTATATTTAATTCCCCATCTTCACTCAATTCCTTTGATTATAGTTTCAGAACATGTTTAGGCTTCAGAAGTGCTTCATAGATCCCAGGATCATGAAGTTCAGTTCTCACTGTAATCATATTGAGAAGTACTCAAACTTTTTCAAGCTAATATTTCCCATCCTCTAAGTTGTAAAGGGGATTTGAGGGGCCCACACCATCTCTGTTATAAAGGAAATGCCACTGGAATAAAACGGGAAACTTGGCTGAAGAGTTAGCCAGTCACCCCACTTCTTCTGCGCACGCCTGCCTGTGATGTTCTAGCTTGCCTTTCTGCCCCATGATGCATGGATATGCTAACCCCTTCTCAGAAAGCACATGTGGCTGTCAAATCACACTTTCATTAGGTGCAAAGCACCTTTTTAATAAAGTGGAGATGAGTCAGCCTGGTCCCCAGTGCTTGGGGGCATATGAGGCTATTCTCTAGTATCTCTGAACAAATCTTCTCATCATGCTATCATGTCATCAACAGATTTGGGGATCTTCCGAAGGGCAGCTATGGTGTTCTACACGGACTGTGTCCAGCAGTGCAGCCGGCCTCTGTACATGGTATGTGTAATTCCTTGGGCTTCTCCCAGAGAGAAGAGAAAGAGTAGGAGGGGCAGGCTTGGGAGTCCACTCAGAATCTCCAAATCCAGAGGACCAGATGGCCCAGGGTGGATGAAGCCTAGTTAGTGGAGAGAGAAACACATTGCACTCTTCTTTTTACCCTCAAAATATAAGCTAAGGTGATTCCATTTTGCACATGAAATATTGCTAATATATGAAGAAAAAATACACTTTTATACATACAAATTAAACCATGTTAATTGCTATCAGGAAAGATCAAGACAGGATAAGCCCATAAATCATCATCCAAAGAAGAATGATGACTTGACTTATAGAATTGAAATAATTAGATCTATTAAAAATTACACAGAGTAGGACATATAAAATAGATTGTCCAAGCAAACATATGGCCAATTCAATCACTGGCATCAGGATTTACACGTATCACTCTACACATTTGTTTGATTTGTATACATTGTTTTTAGAACAGATTCGTGTTCACAGAGAAATTGAACAGAAAATACAGAGATTCCCCATATCTCCCTTCTCCCCACATGCACAACTTCTCCTCCAGTACTCCTGATCAAACTAGTACCTTAGCTGTTGTTTATGAACCTACATTAATAGCTCATAATCCTTCAAAGTCAATGACCTACATCACTGTTCACTCTTGGTGCTGAGTTTTGACAACTTTATAATGCTATGTATCCCCGTTAAATCTCATATGGAATATTTCACTACTCTAAAATTCTCTCTGCCTCACTATTCATCCCACCCAAAATCCCCCCACCCCAGTAGCTAGAAACCACTGATGTTTTTATTTGTCTCTGTTGAGCCTTTTACAGAATTTCATACTGTTGGAATAATATAGTACATAGCCCTTTCAGACTAGTTTATTGTTGTTTCTTTTTTAACTGAATAATATGCACTGAAGATTACTCCAGATCTACTGGAGGACATCATGATTTTTTATGGTTTTGGCAACTATAAATAAAGCTGCTATTTTGGTGGTGGGTAAGGGACGCATGTGCATATGTTGAGGTGTGAAACTAAACCCCTAATATTATAGTTTTGTAAAGAAATGATAAACTAATAAAATTTTATTTAATTAAATAATTTAAAAATCTGTTATAAAAGTGTTGTGTTAACCTATCTTTTCAACTCCTTTGAGTAAATACCAAGGAACATGATTGCTGGATAATATGGTAACAGTATATTTGTTTTGCTAAACAAAGTGCCAGATTGTATTACAAAGTAGTTATACCATCTTGCATCCCCACCAGCAAAAGTTCCACACCCTTGTTAGTGTTTGAAATTGCCAATATCTTGGATTTTAGCCATTCCGGTAGTGAATTAATTTTTAAAATACAGGTATTTGCTCCAGATTGTATGGGTCATTCACATAAAGACAGAAAATTGAGGTTTTTAAATGGCCATGTAAACTAAGGTGTTAGCAGATAGCACCTGAAAGTTTAACTAGTATGCAAAGGATCAGGAATAAATTGCAAATATATCTCTATTTGTCATTTGAGTTGGAACCTTCCCTATTTTCTCCCTACCAATAACTTCAATGTAAGAGGTTCTGTTTATTTAGGACCAGAGCCTCTTTGGAACAAGAGCAATGGGTAGAAAACCAACTCTTTAAAAGTGAGTCCTCAGAGCTGCCTTAGAGCCCAGCAAATAACACGCCCAGGGAAACCTTCCGTGACTACATCACAATCAATCTGCCCATCAAGAAGTAGATCCTGCATGCCCAGGTCCCCTAAACCTCAGGGAGAAACAGCAGAAGTCATCCTGACTCCCCTGGGAATGTGGTCACCCCAGCTTGCAGTCAGAGGCCTTGCCATTGAGTCCTCAAACTGTTCTCACCGTCGCCACAGTTTACGTCCAAAGATAGAAACTTTTTTCTTACCAAGCAAATTGTTTCCCCATAATCGTTGCTTCCCGTGGTGGTGTGCTGAAAGAAATGATGTGTGAGCTGCCTCTCAGGTGATGTTTTCTTTCCTCCTTTCCAGGACAGAATGGTGTTGCTCATTGTGGGAAATTTGGTTAACTGGTCCTTGTAAGTAGTCTGAGAAAATGTGTTTTTCTCTTTATTAATATCTGTGACATTATAGTTTTTTGTTGGCTGTCATTTTTATAAAGACACCTGAAAGTAAGGAGAATATAGGTCTATGCTTATCCTGGAAACTTAAAAAAGGAAAAATATTTTTCCTTTTGCAAAGAATGCACTAGAGACTCTTGTTTGCCAAACGGCCTCTCTTAAAGCATTGATATACTGAGTTCATTGTTCATCAAGGAGAACATCAAACTTGTTATGTTAGTGCAGATAGATGATAGATAGATAATAGATGATAGGTAGGCATGAAGATTATGCCAGTTGCAAAAAAGTAAGGATTTAGATGCACTTGTAGAACTTTCCACAAGGCAACCTCATGCGTATTTCTCTTTCTCACTGAGTATTTCTATTTCCTTTATTCCCTCTCAGACTCATTCTTCCTATTCCACTTACATCTTCTACTTTATCTTTGTCTCCTTTATTATTATATCTTGATCTTTTCCTTCCTATGAACTCAAAAGTGAACAGTGTCACAAATATATAACTTTGCTAGCTATGGTTACTATAAGCAACATATTCTCAGCCTAAAATGTAAATGAATGATGTATGTTATTGATACCACATAAATAAATAAATAAATAAATAAACAAATAAATAAATAAATAAGCCAGTAAAAATCGTTCTGAAATGCATTGCCTAATTACACAAAATTTCAAAGGTATCTTCAAAAGATGACTAACAGAAGGAAAAAGGAACAGAGGTGTACAATCAAGAAACCAGCATTATCCAAGTGGAGCTTTCTCGAACGATGTAATTGTCCTACTCTACACTATCCTATACAGTAGTTATGAGCCACCTGTGATTAATTAACACTTGAACTCACTGCAGCTTGAGTGAATACAAAACTGAATTTTCAATTTTATTTAATTTTCAATTTAAGCTACCACCTCGCATAGTACATGTTAGCCTAACCAGATGGGACAACAAGGCACTGGTCAAAAATTAGAAACAAATTAGTAAATCAGAATGGAGAGGACAGAAATCCAATTACGTACACATGTGTCATTTAAAAAAGTGTCTCAAATGAGGAGATAAGGGTCATACTGTAGAGAGTTTTATTATAACTGAACAGAAATTTGGAAAGAAGTTAAAGCTAAACCCCAAGTAAATAAATTTCAGTATTAACTTAAAAGTCAAACAGCTAGCAAAAAAAATTACAATGTGTGACAAGCCAATTATTGCAATAATTCTGCTACTAACAATCTATTCTAATGACTTGATCTTAAGTAGAAAAAGAAAAAAAGCACAATGTGTCCTAAGGGATTCATTTAGTTTTGCAGTGTTCTTTATCCTAGTGCACAGTTAAGGGATGACAGGAAACCTGTTCATTTCCACCAGAAAGGAAAGATGGTTATTTATGGCATGCCCCCCTAGAGGAAACTTATAATTATTAAAAATGAATGTTCTGAAGGAGATGGAAGAAATGAAAACTCACATTAAAATGTTAATTGTTTAATTTCCTTCCCTCCAAAATGGAGGTGAAAAAGCCAGTAATGTTACATCTCCACCCTCATGGCTATGACATTATCCTTCCCCATATTCTCAGTGCCCTCTTCGGACTGATATATCGACCCAGGGACTTTGCTTCCTACATGCTGGGCATCTTCATCTGTAACCTGCTGCTCTACCTGGCCTTCTACATCATCATGAAGGTAGGAGGGTGGTGGGAGCCAGGCACACCCCAAGCCTGGATAGGGGTGCAGCTTGGCAGTGTCTGCTTCTCACCCACAGCTCCGCAGCTCTGAGAAAGTCCTCCCCATCCCACTCTTCTGCATTGTGGCTACAGCTGTGGTATGGGCTGCTGCCCTGTATTTTTTCTTCCAGAATCTCAGCAGCTGGGAGGTAAGAGAATGGTTTTTCTTTCCAAGAAGCTATTCTTTCTTCATCTTTCCTTTTTGACCTTCCTCCCTCCCTTTCCTTGTGGGCTTGTTGCTCTTTATCATTCTTATATTCTCTAGTAGCAAGGCTTTCTCTAAAAGGCATGCCCCCCTTTTTTTTTTAACTGTAAATGCCCTTTATTTCAATTCTGTTAGCCTCACAGCACACCCTTGCGTGCACTGTGCTATCGGGCCTCCTCGGCACATGTGAGAAGAGCAGGAGACACCATCTCCCTTGCAGACCTGCTGTGGGTCTTGCAATAAACCTGATCTGGCTGTGCCCTGAGCTGCTCAGCTCCCGAAACACAGAGAGTGTGCCTCCAAAAGGCAGTTCTTTACACAAGACAGTGAACTCTGATCTCCAGCAGCACCAATGCCAAGGACCCAGAATGCACCAGAGAGTGTCACAGTCAGATTGAGACACCTCAGTCAGGTCTCTGCGGGCCCCACAGTTGTCCACTCTCAGCATCATTCTGAGCGTCATTCTGAACGCTATCCACACAGTAACTTCCTTCAGGTGTGGGGGGGGTCATTGGTGCAGACATTGTTTCAGTTAATTTGGACTCTTCCATAATGCTTTCTGCCTTCATCTTACTTCTTATCTTGCCTTTTTTTAAAAACAATATAATAATTTATTTTTACATCATTTTGTATTTGGATTTTAATGAACACACAAATGCTCAAGAAATGCCACGTTGTCTTCACTATCAGGATAGTGCTTGGTAAATGTGCAGGCCATACAGACGCTGCAGGTCGGGTCTTCCTTATGTGTTGTGCAGTCATCTTTCTCCCAGTGGATGTTTCATGTGTACAAAAGCCCTGCTCAGTGTAACTTCATCTTTCTCATCATAACCATAGCCATAAACAAATACCCAGGTGCAGGTAGGTATAAATCCATTTTATGGATAGGAAAACCGAGACCTAGGAAATGGGCGATATATCCAAGCACAGAACAGGGAGGAAGACTCAGCTGTCCACCATCACTGCAATCAATTTTACATTTTTAATCACCCCAGAAAGTACTCCTGCACCTGTTAGCAGTCACTCCCCATTTCTTCCTGACCTCTTGACCCAAGGCACTAAAATATTCTTTGTTGCTGCCTGTTCTGAAGTTCATACAAAGAAGTCTGGCTTCTTTGACTTAGTAAAACATTTCCTAGGTTCACCCATGTGGCATCATGTATCATCACTTCACGCCTTTTTTATGACTGAATAAGTCTCCATTATGTGGACACCCTGTATTTTACCTGTCCACATGACATGATGGGCTTTTGAGCTGCTGTGAACGTTTGTTCACACATTTCTTTGTGGATGTACGTTATTGTGGACATTAATTTTTTGAGCCAGGCCTAACATCTGTCCTAAAGTCACACATCTGTTAACGACATTTTGGTTGACGGCAGTTACTCCAAAGGCTTCACACAGTATATCCTCAGCTTGCAGCAGGCGGTCCTCTCTGGGTGTGTTTCATTACACTCTGATGTTTGCGCAATGACCAAATCACCTAAGCACACATTTGTCAGGACATATCTCGGTCCTTGTGAGCTCATGACTACTCTGGCATTTTTGTGGCTTTCTGGCTGCTCAGCCCTCTAAACAGCTCAACTGTGGGAATGCTTGCCCACCCCTGCCTCACCTTCCCCCAGGGAACCCCAGCTGAATCCCGGGAGAAGAATCGGGAGTGTGTCCTGCTCGATTTCTTTGATGACCATGACATCTGGCACTTCCTCTCCGCCACCGCCCTGTTTTTCTCATTCTTGGTAAGTTTATAAAAGCTTTTTTGTATGATTTCTTCTCTCTTTATACTTTATACTCTCTTTATCCCCTCATCCACTCTTGCTTCCACCCTCTTTTGTACTCTTCTTGAATCTCTTTTTCCAATTTCATTGTAGTCCAATGTATAAACACTCTTATTTCTCTTTTTATTAGAGCTTTATTTCCTTTTCTTATTATTCTTCACAGAATGTATATATGTATATACATATATACATATATATTAGAGCTTTATTTTCCTTTTCTTGTTATTCTTCACAGAATGTACATATGTATATACGTTATATATGGTATATGTATGCATATGGTATGAATGTATGTTTTGTATATATACATACATACATACATATATATACATATATATATATACATACATATATATATTAAGACAGATGATTACAAAGTTTAAGTTGCATAACATTTGCAATGAATTGGACCTTGCATGCCCAAAATTCCCCCAATACTATTTTGTGAGATTTTGTATATATACATACATACATACATATATATACATATATATACATACATATATATATTAAGACAGATGATTACAAAGTTTAAGTTGCATAACATTTGCAATGAATTGGACCTTGCATGCCCAAAATTCCCCCAATACTATTTTGTGAGATTTATTAAATTTTCGTGATATTGAGCTATTCCTTCTTGCGCTATACTAACAGTCCTCCCTCTCTTCTAGTCTCACCGAATATTTTACAATTTCTGACTCAGGATAGCAGTCAGACCTCTGTTTCTTTTTAACTTGTCTATTCCAAATCTCTCCTGCAGGTTCTTTCTATCTTTCTTTTTATACCCAAACACCTTCCCAGAAACCATATTTTAGCAACCCGGGAGTTAGTAAGTAACTGCCCGCATCCTTTCATAATTTGAGTTAACACAAATTAAAAGTCCCTGGCGACGGTACATAGTTTGTATTCACCAACAACACCACCATTAGACCTGCTGACCCGTCTACAGTTGCCTGCTGTAACTGTCCAAGCATGGAGCAAGGCTGCCCCCTAGTGGTCTAATTGAGACGCTTAACCAGTCTGAATAAAACATTCCTTTTGGCTTTTATTTTTGAAAGTCAGCTTAGAGACCACGAAAGTGGAGCTAAGGTGTTCCTTTTGGAGGGAGTGGTGGCAGAGGAAACTGAAAATGGAGAAGGGTACCTTTCTAATATACCAACAGTCTATGCAGCCAAACTCCATTTCCTCTGCTAAGTCTTCCCCAGTCATCCTATCAAAATGTTTTATCCCGCCCCACCCTTACTTCCATTGCCTCCATGCTTTAGTTTTTGTTCATATTACATATTACATATTACTACCTAGCACTCTACACTTATCACATAATACTATCTGGCATAATGTATCTTACCCATGCATATGCTTCATGTCTAAGGCTTCTTTTTGACGTAGGCTCCACGAAAGGAGGCGTGTATATCTCCAGCATCTGGAAAGCATAAAGTAGACCCTTGATAGTATTCAAATAATTAATTAATGAACTGTTACCTATAGTAACACTCACTATATGCTTGTATGTCTGTCTACGGCATAGCAGAGAGCTATAGAAGACACAAAAATGAGGAAGGACAGTTGTGGTTTTCAGTCTTTGTGAGTCTTAGAGAGACAATAGGGATTTACTGCAACAGTTCAATCCTCTCATTTCTCTGTTCCTCTCATTTCAGGTTTTGTTAACCCTGGATGATGACCTAGATGTGGCTCGGAGAGACCAGATACCTGTCTTCTGAGCCTCTTGCATAAGATGGGGAGAGGGAATGATCACTCTTGGTGCTGTTTCATGAAAAAATCCAGTTACTGCAGCAAAGTTACCACTGCCAAATGTTCCATTCACCCTCTGTTCAGTCAACTCCATACACATTCACACGGGGGGAGAGGAGCCAGGGCAGGATTCAAACCTGCAAGAAGTGAAGCAGAGGGAAGCCATGGCTACAGATGGAGGCCAACCCTGAAGGGTGGAAGAGCACCCCCCTTTTGTGTGCAACTCTGATTTAGGTGCAGACAAAAGCTGCATCAAAATCAACTTGCTGTCTTGGGACCCTCCAGGCGCACCTGCAACTTGCCAGCATTGGTAGAATGATGCTCTTCTACCACTGCCCAGAAAAGCCAGCAGCTCAAGATTTCCAACCCAGACACTTTGGGCCGGTCTCCTCTGCATGTCTGCGACATGTTACTCTAGACTTCCTGGAGGACCAGCTCACTTCTCCAAAGCCCTGAAATGGTGGGATTCCTAAGATCTTGTAGAGGGGTGGCCCCAAAGTCCCATCTAACAGGGAATAGAGACTTGGGTAGCACCAGCTTGTCACCTAGTTAGAAGGGAAGTTTATGCTTTGACCAGGTTCCTGACCTCACTAGACAGATTCTGGATGTGGCTTTGTCCCATTCTGACTCTGGGACCAGACTTGGGTACTTACCCATTCCTCAGCATCTTCATCTCACTGCCGTGTATTGAGCTCAGAACTCAGGATGGGCCTTCTTGGAAAGGCTCTGTTACTCCACATTTCAGCTTCATGATAGAAAGGGAAATGGGAAATGTCTCCTAGCAATAGGAACAAGAGAAATGACTGACAGGGCTAAGAGACTGGTGGCATCAGCCTCAAGCAAACAGGCTACCGTTGAGCTTGGGCTTCTGGAACAGCTTCAGCAAAGGCAAAAGTGCCTCCTATCAAACAGCCCAATTCTGTGCTCGTATCACCTTCAGGGAAGAAATGAATGCTCTGACCAGAGCGGGTGCACTGAGAGGGCATGACCCAAAGCCCCTTATCTGCCATGTTCTGCCGAGCAGGGGCTCCAGACAAATCCCTAAAAGCAAGGTTTGACCAAACACATTTTATTCATCCTCTTTAGTTGCAGAGGACACAGCTGATTTGGGATCATCTCTCCGTTGCACCTGATTCTCATTCTCTCCCCAGCAAGGTGTTGGAAAATTCACTCTTACACTGATGGCAGTTCTGCCCCTGAAAAGTCCCCAGGTAACAAGCTGTTTATTGCCTGGAGTGTGATGGACTCAGAATGTTTACAGATGTGTACACAGCGATATATATCTGTTCCTGGTCATTAATTAGACAAATGGACCAGGCATTCTTTTTTTTTTTTTTTTTGTTATTCTTCCTCTAAAATATTTGCATAACATTCAAAAACACATTTTGGAAGTTTGAAGAGCAAACTCTCCCTGATTTTTAGACAATGCTTTCAATGAAATATTTTGTTTTTGTTTTCCTAAAATGTTTCTGAATTTGAAATTGACATTGTTATTCTTTATTCCTTAAAAACTGGCTAACTTCCAGGGGCCTCCAATTAAATAGTTCTGTTCATCTAACATCTAAAACACATTTCAAATCTGTTAAATTATGACTGATTTGATCCGATTTCATTAAATTCACTCTTTTATTTCAAAGTGCCAATGGCTTTAAATCCAAGAACAATCCACTAAGGAAGTGTGAACAATAACGTCTGTTTGAGTAGCGGTGGACCTGAAGTGAATGAACCATGGGAGGTGTGGCTGGCTGCACTGCTTCTCTGGGAGCTATGTCCATGGAAATGGAGAGGAATAGGTGCCAATGATGGATGGGTCTGCTGTGTTCTCGACTGTTTCTCACACCAGCCTTGTGCTACAGACACACTGCGGACAATTGTGTTGCCTCTGCAAGGAGACTAAAAACCCAGACATGGCTGATCTTAGAAACACTGATTCTAAATGCACTCTTGCTCATGCTTGCTACAATGTGGATCTGGAGGTTTGAGGCTGCAAGGTCGTGGTCTGCCTCTGTAGGGGTCACAGGCGGACTGGGGGAGGCGGTTTCAGAATTTAACGGTCCCTCATGTAGATGTATGTGGAAATGCCTGTGTGACTTCTGTCTGTTCTCTTGGACTACTCTTTAAAAGAGAAGGGAGGGGTGACTGTGAAAACCGAGCTCAGCACCGGGTAAAACATCACCACCAAGAGAGACCCTTGGCCAGGCCAGCACAGAGTAATGTGAGCCGGTCAGCTGGCGCGGGACAGAGACATGGCAGCCAGACAGGCAAAACCGTGCACTTAAAAAATGACCTCTTCACACCTTTCACAAATGCTGGCCAGGCCAACCCCACCTGTTGATGCTGGATGTTTAAGGGATTAACCCGGTTTTATTTTAGCAGTGGTAGAAGCTAGTGGAAAACCAGAGTCTATCTGGGGAAGGGACTTTCCATGACTGAAGGAGATCACAGAGTCAGCTTCCAGGGCAAAAAAAGTGGCAGCTGCTTCTTTTGTGGCTCCAAGCACCTGCCCTGTCCAGAATGTTCTGTGGGGTTGCTAAATTAATGTGTCAGTAAATCAAACACTCAAATTATTTTTCATTCTGGGAAATAGTCTTACTGTGGGAAACCTGGGGGAGGCGGGGAGAAACAAAGACAAACATTGTTCATAGGACAAAACATAGAGGGTCTAAGAAAAATTCTTATGTCAGACTTTGGTCAAATTATATCCACCTGCTTGCCATGTGACTCGAGCCATGTCACTGGAACTGATACTCACCAGCCACTTCTATAGGACAAGTCCATGAGGTGACCAAAGGTAAGGCAGGGAGTAGTCAGCCCTAATACCCTGCCCCCCTTTATCTCTTCAATCCCTTGGGGAGGCAGGCAAGAGCCAATCTCTCCCCTGAGCTGTTATTGCTCACGCCTAGGGCTAGGGCCTCCTCTGAAACTAGTACTATTTGAGTCCTCCTTCCAGGAGGCCCTGTAGGTATGAGGGCCCCACCTCTTCCCTTTCAGAGATAACGTCCAGGGTTATCAAATCGCCCAGCCTCAGGCCCCTCCTTAACTTTTATTTCTGCACTGCTGGTTATTGTTATTCTTATTACAGTTCAGATGAAAAGCTGCAAACAGAGCTGGGACAGGTGGGAAGTCAGGCTGCTTTACTGCCAGTTCTCCCCTGGGAATCTCAAAGAAAACCTAGATGTTCTCCTTTGCAGTTGCTAAGACTAACGGGGTTCAGGGAATGCAGTGTGCAGATGTTCCCCTCACCTGCCTCACGCCCCACCCTCATCACTATGTACCGTGAGGGAAAGTCTGGAGGTTCAGGCTCCATGAACAAGGGCCTCAAGCTCCATGATGGAATAAGTCCCTGAAAGGAAGACACATGGGAAGGATACTGGGTTTTAAACGACTTTAATGTCCCCCATGAAACTCAGGGAAAACACTGAGTCTACATGGCCTGAAACAATGTTAAATCCTTGTTTACTATGAATCTGCCAGCGTGTACTAGTTTGTTTCTTTTTTTATTTTTATTTTTTTAAAGATGTATTTATTTATGCATACAAAACTAGGATATAGGCTAGAAGTGCAGGGGGTGAGAAGATCCATCAGAGAGAGTGGGGAGCAGAACAGTTTTTAACTGCTTTATGTAGGCAAGATTTATTTGTGTGACTGAATTTAATGTCCTCGCAACATTGCAACATTAATGTGCAACATTAATACGCTGTTGTCAAGATGAACCACCTACTAAACCTTCCTGCACATGAATTCAAATAAGCTTGGAAGGAGTCAAAGACTAGCCTTCACCTCTGAGCTTCTAAAAACCAGCAGTAATGAGGGGTGACTTTAGAGGAGACAAGACTTTTCAATTGGCTCAACTTTTGCTGAGGACTCTTGTGCAAAAGATCTCCTGAACCCCATACCCACTGTCCCCCAACCCCCTACTTATCAGTTGCAGCAGGATACTTTTTACTTTCTATGGTTTTCCTGAAGTGTGGTCTGCTATTTTTATTGAAATACAAAGAAGACTAAATGTTACCATTATTCAACTAGGTGTTATGCCATGCTCCCCAATCCTAAAGATGTGGATCTCTTCCTTCTTCCTAAATAGCTCTAAACTAGGAGATTTCATATTTTCCCCTGAAATCTTAAATTAAAAAAAAAATTCCTTGACTTTATCTACTTCCTTTTCATTGCCTTGAAATACTTGTCATCTAACATCTATCAGTTTCATTTGCAGACAAACAACAGGTAACCACCACCCCATTTTAACATAGAAGAGCCTTGAGTTTCTGTCACATTTCAATCAAGTGCTAAATAAAGTCTGGGATGTTCCTTGTGTCCTTCCAGAGAACAGAGGAGACATCAGAAAAATAACTGATCACCTCCTAATTTTCCAAGAAAAATCAAAGTCCCCGTTTTAATTCCAACAAAGAACAGAGATCTAGGAAGGTAGATAATCGGGATGAAGGTCATCTTAACCCATCTTTGATGTAACAAAAACAATGCCGTCTCCCTAATTCTTAGGAATTGTAACAACATTCCCTGGGAGATAACAAGCAGGCACTGAGATTCGTGCTGCCTTGCCTTTGTATGAGATTATTACTGTTGAAACTATGCCCTCAATTCCCATTTTCAATCCTTAGAAAAGTTGGCAGAAGTGACAATGAAAACAGCAAACATTTCCTCAACAAGAGTTTTATATATATGACCGCATTAAACATGAACAAGCACTGGCTCATAATGTCGGTGTTATTACAACTATACCCACTTAGCAGATGGAGAAACTAAACTTTATATAAGTCACTATTCAACTGATGAAGTGAATGGAACAGAAATCTGGACAGTAGTCAAAAATGAGCATTTTAGTTAACAAGACCAAAGAAAGGGAAGACAGTGTTACTATTTGCTATAAAGATGACAACTTTACTTGTACATATATCTATATATATTATATATGAGAATTATATATTAACAGTTGGTTATGATGGAGAAAATAACAGTAAGGAGGCATCACAAGACTGACTCACACAAGGAGTAGGGGTAGAAGGGATTAGCATAGCCATGGAACCAGCTATAGAAACCACGATTCTTTGGCCCCAATGCCTAGGTTACAAAGCATAAGATCCAAGCAGGTGCAGACTG